AATTACCCCCACTCATTTTGAAAATAAGTTAACACATCCTCTGCAGAGAACACACTTCAGCACATTTTAATATACAGTTACTGTTTATTTACTGAATTTGACAAATTAGGAAAAAAATAAAACATAAAATGTGTGATTTTTATTTTTTTTAATGTTTTCACAATATGTTAAACTCAACAAATAAATACAATTGTGCACCAGATTAGTCAGGAGTGTGTGAACTTTTACATACGACTGTATTTCAATCTGACAAAAATCTTAACTAACCCAATTAAATGGTCAGGATCAGCCAGCGGGTCCAGGCTTTTATACACCCTCCTAAAGCTTAGGAATAACTTTAGTTTGTATCATTTTCCATGTAATTACTGAATAAGAATCTTTAAGATGTAATTAATTAGTATTTAGTAACGACAGTATTATTTAATTATCAGTGTTTACTATAATGTTATTTCTTTGAACACCATTATGCTTCTTCAAAAACTGTTAATTTTTGTTTTATGATACTAAAGTAAGGCAAGTCATTTAAGAAAGACAGCGAAAAGTCAAGTGCCCAAACTATAGCATCTGGAGTTTTACAACAGCCAACGATACAGTGGACAGAACTATTACGACCTTATTTTAAAATGGCCTCAGGAAGAACAAACAATGGCAAAGTAGGGCTTCACAAACACCAATACACAGACCCTTAACAGAATAGTTTATAACCACCACACAACAGACTAAAAAGTGACCGCAGCATTCAGTTTAACTGTAAGGGTCCATATATGGGCCCACGCTTCAGTTCCTCACTCTCATAACTCATTTATGGCACATAATATAATTTAACTGAATAACACAGCTGCAGTTTAAGACACTGGCCTCACACATCTGATATACACTGTGTAAACATGCGGTAAAAAAATAAAAAAAAACAACAACTGTAGCTAAAGACATTTTTATTAAAATAAAAATATATATAAAAAAAACAAAAAACAGTTGTTCACCAAATATTCACCAAAATGAAACCTTCACTTGCACGCGTGCCTGATGTTGTTCCCGGAGCGCCGGCTGAACTCCAGTACAGTTTGATGGTGTCCCAGCTCAAATACACCTTAGTTAATGACTAAGTTTAATACACATGCATGAAAAGGGGAAACCACAAAACTGTGCTGGAAGTCGGGAAACAACAATTCCCTACTTTGAACTGTTCAAATAAATGTGTATAGAGGGAAGCTACTGTACACACAAATGCCCCAACACCTCATTACAAGAACATATACATATATAGACACTTAACTGGGTTCTGAAGTGTTCTATATAGCACCAAAAAGGGTTACGATGTCAAGAACTCTTTCTGGTGCTATATAGAACCGTTTTTTAAAAATAACCATATACAACACATTCGTCAATCTGAAGAACGATCTCACCATGCAAAGTACCACTGAAACATGCAAATGGTTCTTTAAATGTTCTATGTATTTCATGGTTCTATATTGAACCACTGTGTTTACACGTAAGAACCTTCTTTTTTAAGAGTGTAATTTATGCTCTAGAGACCGGACTAGAGTACTACAACACTATCCTCTACAGAGAATTTAAATATGGCATTTTTCTGCTAATTTTAAATTCTATTAATTTCTATTTATTTTATTTATTAAACATAAAATTCTAAATTTGCTATAACGTTGGCACAGGCCACATTTTATATGTATTTTTTTGATCGAATTCTTTTACGATTCCCTTGACGTAACTCAGAAAAACCAACCATGGAAAGCCCATGCAGGAAGGAGTCAGCTAGTAACCCACTATATTTCGATGTTCATTCTTAAGAGTGTCTTGGCTTGATGTAACTAATTGTTCACTATTATCACAAAAAGATCACTATGCAATACTTCAGACTGAACCAGCATGAAGACCCTCTTACACATCCATCAACGAAGTTTTTATCGTTCTAAGACGCAAAAGGCAGAAGAGATTGAAGAGAGAAATAAATGAGACCACTCACCTTTTCAGTCTTCAAGTGTGGCAGTCCTTCAGGTCCTCTGAGACATTATGCTGAGACGTAGTCCACTTGACCTTCTCGTGTGCAAGGCTGCTGCCATGAGAGCATGAAGACCACAGGCAGCCAGGTGCTCTTTAGAAAGCAAAGCTGCGGCAGCCGGCGGTGACAACTGCGGTGCAGAACAGGATCACTGTGCGAGCAGCGTGGCATGCAGGCCAACGCACTTCCTAACTTACTTCTGGCCTCAATTGTTTGAGTAGGTGAGCTTGATGCTACTCTCCTGCAGGATCCAATGCTGTTTTACCTTAGCTTGTCCTGAATAGGGATCAAAATGAAAGGGATACTATCAGAGACAGGCCCCGCACACAGTTAAGTAAAAAACGTAGCTGCGGCTTCATTTCGGAGAAGGTGTTAGCCTTACAGGCAGCACTTACACAGCACATGGCCCAAAACAGCAGCGGGCTGTGGTTTCCTCTCCTCGCTTACAGCCTTTGTTGCTCTCTGCAAATGAATTGCATTAAGCAAAAAGCAAAGTGCACAATTTTTTTTGGAAACAACAAAAAGACAGTTGTTCAACTGCATTGGCTGAATTTAATCAGTGGCTTGAATAGTCGTTACAGATCAACCGCATCACTCCATATACAACTACATTTTTTTTTTACAGTTCATTTTCAAATACATCATTTTTATTGGCATATTTACAAAACATTGTATGTACATTTCAGGTCAGTGCAACGTCATTTTTATTCTTTAAACACTTTATAAAATAAAGTTCATTAAATTAACACATCTCTGCCAATTAATTTAACAAAACCAACTAACAACAAAGACAGACGTCAGTAGTTGATTGCACTACTTGCCAACCAATCATGTTTCTGAAGCATTAATAAATTATCCCTGTATCAAAAAAAAGTCTTTAAAAGTCATGTGTAGTTGTGGCCTCCAAAGACTTGTGAGCTGAGGGGAAGATTCCAGTTCAAATAAAATAAGCAAGCCACTCATCATTACAAGTGAATGCAAATTTCAAACCGAGAGGATCTGAATCACCGTTGTCAAATACAGACTATATTCTTCTCACCTAATGTGCATTATGTATTTTTCTCTCAGTGTGGAACAGCTCTAATGTTTATAGAATAAACATTCCTTACAGCTGATACAAATAATTTGCATGACTCATCATGTCACATGACTGATGAATTACAGTAATATTTACGTTCATTTCACATTTTTTTTTTTATGTGAAGCAGCACAGTCCTATAGGCCAACTTATAGTACTATGCCATTGAAGGACAAATGAACTCTTGCTTAATGAGGACCTCATTCAAGTGATTAGAAGTAATGGGGAAAAACAAAACAAACAAAAAAAACAACAAGAATCATTAATTGTTTCAAAACCTTTTTCACAGTGTTAAGACGGCTCTCTAATGAAGAGTCTCCACAGAGTTGCTACTAATCTGACATGTCTTAAGACACGCAACCTTCAGCAGGTCACTGCAGACGCTGCTTCCTTTCAGCACAGGGCCTTCAAAAGGTTAGCTGGGCTGACGAGACATTCTTTCAGAGAATACAGTTCACGTAGACCACCGTTCTCTCGCTCTCTGCCGACAGAGTTTAATGTTATGCAACAACATATCACCTGTTAAGAACTTTGGCTTGATACTGTGAACCTCTCCCATTAGAGTGCACTGATCAGATATGCAGGCATTTGGCTACCATTTACTGTACCTTTCTAACAGGAAATAAAGTGACATCAGTAATAACATTCTAAAAGCTGTAATGGCATCGCTGAATGGTCGTAATGGTGGGCTGGCACTGTGAGGAGTGGAATGCTGAGACTCGCTGCCAGCATACAGTCACATAACAGCTAAGCTGTGCTTGGGCAACATGAATCAGCACTATTAAAAATAAATATCACTGAAAAATAAAATGTATAAAGTTAAAACTTGTTTAAGACAAAGACAACACACTGAAGAGATATACTGGCTCTTTGAGCGACACTCTGGCACACAACCGGAAAAAAAAAAAAAAATTCAAATTTTAAATCAAAATTTAGCAAATGGCATACGCAAGTGGTTTGTTTGTTGCTCACTGAAATGCTGATTTGGCAGTGAAATGTGCAGGACTTCACCCAGTCATTATTTATGTCATAATCTTATACGAGATGACTCTACAGACACACGTTTTAGGGAGCCATTCACATTGTAATACTGTCTCTGGGACTTCCCATGAACAATCAATCAATTAACTGGAAAAAACTGAGGTAGTGTACAACTTCTACTGAGAAACCTTTGATTCTGATTAAGGAAAATCCAACAAGCCTTTGGGAAGCATTAAGCTTGTTAAAGGAATGGTTTGGTGAGGGGGAAAAAAAAATCCACTCACCTCAGATGTAGTTCCTCATCCAAAATTCTTCAATTTTAAACTGGAGCTATGAGGCTAACGTTACTAACAAACAGTAGAAGTCAACAGTCACCCAAATCTTTTCTGCTGAACCTCAACTGGTTCAAACCATATCCAGATCTTCCTAAAGACCGTGCAGACTTGTTAATGTTGTTTAAGACACAGTATGACACAAGTTTGCATAACCTTAATGAAGACCGGGATGCAGCTTGAGCAGGCTGAGAGAAGTTTTAGGGATGTATACAAAACATTTTGTGACTACTGACTAGTATATTAGTCGGGACTTAATATTTCTAGTATTTGTTAGCAACAAATAGTTTTATAACTGAAGAATTGATCAACAATGTCTGGGTTAAGTGAAAATTGTGTAAATTAGATTTTTTTGCCAAACCATTCCTTTAAGTCTACACATTTCAGTCTGTGAAGACTATGCGCTTATAAACTTAACATTCAATCAGTGACCGAAACCGCTCTATTAGAGATGGTGATTAAAGGTGGGACTGAGTGAATGCATTTGGCCTGTAAGAGCTTTGCTTATGATTCCATCATATAAATATACAAAACTCAAGCATATGGAAGATGAGAGTGCTGTCAAACCTTATGGTAAGATAAATACATAAATATCATGTGTATGTATGTGATTCTGCAGACTTGGGGTTTCGCAGTGTTAAGAGTGTGTCCAGTTAAATCAACTTCAAGGGAATGGATATTTTGTTCACTTGGCAACAACCATCTTAACAGTTCTATTTTTCTACCTCATTCACTTTTTCTCAAATGCACTCCGCCACTCGCTGGCGCAACACATTCAAACCAGCAGTAAAGTACCTGTCTTCAGAATTTTCAGAAACAGGGGGCAGCAGTGGAGCCTCTTCGGCGGTGAACTGTTCTTTGTGCTTCAGAGTAATTGTTGCTCCTCAGTTTCGACTGAGCAGTGTCAGCTTGGCCACACTGCTGTTACAGTCTTCATTGCACAGGGGAAGATACTGACAAAACTTACTAAGTGCCTTTAGCGTGGAAGAGCATGGGTTCACTGAAGCACACAGTACTTCTTATAGTCTGACTCAAAGTCTTCATCCATGCTAGTAGTGTCTGCCATTTTTTTGCCGTCAGTCTTGGGCAGAAATTGAGAGTAGTCCACTCCTTGTTGCTCATAGAAGAGAATGTATGCTGAATCTGCTTCGACCTCTTCTGAGTGAACCTCCTGGAGATGTGAGAGAGAAGTCAACAAAGGCTTTTAATCTTGCATATCACGATGTAAACAGAGGTAAAATAAACTATCAGTTACAATGTGGGAGGATATGTAGAAAAAGCAGTGGTATGTTACCTTGCAGCTGCTGTCATTGTAACAGTACCACTTCTCATTGGGGTTTTTAGCATAGGTCACATAGTGACCCCCTCCCATTATTCCTGAATGGCACTGTAAAGAAAATAGAAGTTAACAAGGACAAATCTTTATAAGAATAATTCAATTTCAGATTCCTGATGTGCTAACATGCATTTTCAAAACACTGCAAGCTTAAATGTGAAGTTTCAGTGGCTTCTAAGTATATTTGTATTAAAGATGGGCAGGGTTCTTGAAATATATGGCTTAGGGATACAAATATCTGTTAAATCTTTTGACCAATAATGGACTATTACTAGTCTGTGATTAATCTGAGTTTACTGATTAGCAACTCTCCTCACTACACATTCTGTGATAGTGCATAACAGTGGAGCTACCTGAACAAGTTGCACTCCTCTAGTATACGATTCAAAAAAAGGTCCTCAAGTTGAATGGAATACCTTACTATTCAGATAAAAATTGTTTATCGGAAATTAAATTAACCTTTAACCAAAGGCACTGGTCAAATTTTAGTATTTCTCAGTTAACTTTAAATCGTTTCATTATTAACATCCATAATATGGATATCTGAGCTAATTTTAATGTTTGTTTTTTTTAACTGAGTATTGAATGTGTAGTTTGGAAATTTTTCTTAATGAAATAAATCATATCTTGTCATATAAAAAATGTTTTGTGACTAAACTTGCAATATATAGAATATAATAGAATACTCAGAGTTAAGCAGTTCATATTCACGTTATAGCAACATCTATAAAAAAGCTATATGGAACAAATTTGTACAGCATTTGTGCCTCCAGGTAATCATTCTGTATTCCAGTTGATAGCACGTTAAATAACATACACCTAAAACACAAAAACAAACGACTAACGCAACTGAACGTCCAGTACGGGTCTTGTTTTTTGTTAGCTACACATAATAAACAAATCTTAAACCAATCATGTTTTTGTTTTGTATTTGTCAACATAATTTTTTTTTGTTGAGATATTCAAATAATCAAATAAAAAAATAGTTTGCCCATCATGTGTTCATTCAACAATAAATATTGCCTGTTGTCAAACCAATACCAGCCAAAGAGGTTTTTTTTTTTTTAAACATCAAAGGAATATGTGGATAGGAAAGACTTACTGAGATTGCATATAAATTGTATATGGGCTCCAGGCAGATTTCATCCCTTTGGTGAGAAGAGTTGTCCAGCTCTGTGCTGGCCTCAGAGTGCCCGTTGCTTTGGCTGCTCTCCTGGCCCAGCCCATTAACCATGATGATATCACAGTCAGTACTGGATGCATCCACTGACCAGGAGTCTTGAGTGTTGGACTCTGTATGGGTCCCTGGCCCCAGAGGCTCCACCTCGGTCATGGTGCTGGGCTCTGGCTCCAGCCCGCTCTCTTTACAGCTGCTGTTGCTGCTGCTGTCCAAGTTCTCTTTGCTGTTGGAGAGCCAGTGCCTGCTGCCCAGTTGAGGCAGACGCAGTCGGCCCTGCTTGCGTCCTGCGCTTTTAGGGCTGTTGCTCGGGCTACTGCTTCTGCTCAAGGGACTGCTCACTCTCCTGATCGAACTTGGAGTGCCTGGAATGACAAATCATATCGTTTCACATTTCACTGAAAGGGGCCAAAGAGCTGTTCAGTTTAGTCAACACCATACTTTAATTAGTGTAATTAGTGTAAATGTAGTGGATCAGCCAAGACATGCTTTGTGTCTGCTTTCTTCAGTTTTCCACTGGTGCTATGAGGCTAATGTAGCTAACAAACCACAGTGGAAAGCTCTAGGGATTTATTGGGTTTTAATCATCTATGATTTCAATGGGTGTAACAGCTGCTGTGTTATCATTAAATAAATTCAACTAAACCAATAGAAGCTTAAACAGCACCTCTTAGCACAGTGCAAACTGCATGCCTAAATTCACACACAAAACCTTTTCTCCCTTTTTAATATCTGTATGATATATCAGGGTTTTGGCGGATACTAATTAGTGATCCAACATCAGTGCTGTGCTGTATTGTTTTTGACAGCATCAAAGTAATGTCATACACAGTAAGTCAGACACTATATTGTCTCAAAGTCAATGTGCATCGGAAATCATTATGCATTTTCTTTCCGTACTGTAATATGTTTCCGACTGAAACGCAGTATAGCATTTTCACTTGACAGGCAGGTGTGGTGGAAGGGGATAGTGAAAATTATTGGTTAATATTATTTTCCTCTGCGTGCAAGTGGTAAAGCAGTGAAAGCTCAGAAGACATATTAGTGGCAGGCAAGTTATTGTATTTAATGGAAGATTACAGATTAGCGATAGTTTATGACGAATCATGCTTTATATGTCCAGAGACATGAAATAACAAGGCGAAAAAGGTCCATTTCAAACTGACTTTAATGCGACACTCAGACTAGAAGGTAGGTAACATTTGTCAATGAATAAGTAAAATTCATCGATAGCAATGCAAATGTGTATGAGTGCATTAATATTTGTCTTTGCTCAGAATATTTTTAATCACTATATCCAACACTACCACCATTACTCTTAGGAGTACACACATTTTTAATTATATTACTACATTATATAACGATATACTGAATGTAGATCCAATATCTGATACGTTTAATAACGCCAATATTGGTGCAGGTATCAATCCAGTAAATAATCACTTCTGTTGAACTATATTAAATCTCAAACAGTTTCTTACACTGTATGATATGCTGTTATGACAAATTTGGCAAAAGTATATCATCCAGCTAAAAACTGCAAAAGCAGCCATCTTGAAGCTTGTATTTTGCCCTAGCTTTTCACAAATTGGGTGTTTGAAACAAAAGAAAGAAGAACTGGGTCATCTCTGAAATATTGTTTAAGGAGAGACCGACCTCTGCCCGATATGGGTGGACTTGCAACGGTGGTGGTGGAGATGGAAGACACTGAGGAGTCTCCTCTGTCCAGCCTCTGGAGCTCCTCCACCAGGCACTCGCTCTGGCTCTGCAGGCTCCATGTGCATTGGGCTGCCTCGCGCGGGGCCAGAAACGCACTGGGATCAAAGCCCATACGTGGAAACTTCACTATCTTCTGAGATTTGATCCAGCGCCCATTCACAAACTGGAACCGTTTCAGGTGAACAATCTGAAAGAGGATAAAGAACATCTAGATTTGACTATTCATATATATTGATAATCAGGTGAAATGAACATGCAGCAAAACTGTACGGAGCAGGCAGTGGATGGAGATGGACTTGTACTCCCATTCTTACCAGTATAGGTGGAAGTCTCCAGAGGTCCAGTTTCTTGGTGGCCAGGCGGTGGGTTTTGCACTTGGAGCAGTAGTAGAGCTCATCCTCACCCAGCTCCTCCTCACTGGTGAAAGCTTTCAGACAGCTGTCCAGACTAATGGGCTCCGCTTGGGCACGCCGACTCTGCTCCACACTGGCATGCTCCTCCACTATCTACATAAAAAAATATTACTTAATAACTGAAAATGCAAAGATAAGCTGTAGAAGATTTAGTTAAAGGGCCCATATTAATTGAAAACTGAATTTTCCTCACTTTTTTTTGTTTAAATAGAAGACTTAATGTGGTATATAAACATTGCTTCAAAACATACCATTCACTCCCTAGTCTAAACAGTCCATGTACAGAAACTAGGCTGTGAAACCGGCCTGTTTTTAATGAATTGATGTCACAAAAACACATTTACAAATATCCAACTATTCAGGCTATATCAGTCTAGCACCACCTATTCAAATTCTAAGCAGTGTTTCAGCCTGGACTGCTTTTACAATACAGAGCAGCTAATCAGAACAGAACTCATTCACACATATTAGTCTTAATGGCACAGTACCAAAAATAGCCTGTTGAATCCTAAAGGACAAAGAGTCAGCTAATCTTTTTAACACTTTTTAAATATTCGAAGTCTTAAGAAAATATAAGTTAATCCAGAGCTGTGACAGATGCTTTAATATAAAAACTGAATGTTAAAGCAGTTGACCAACATTTCTAAACATATATTGCACAATATCCAGACAGCAGAAAATTAGCATTTAAAGGCACTGAACAACTCATAAGCATCCAAATTTGGAACAAAACACATTCTCTACTCACATCACTCACAGTACATCATGCATGATACCTACCAAACTAAAGGGAGAGAAAGTGCCATCTGTCCTTAATTTAGATTTGGACCAACTGAACAGTACTGACAGACTCAAAATAGTCGAGGCCTGAATACTTTTTTCTGGCACTCTACGTCCACCTTAAGCTGCATTCACAAGTATACCTGGAATTACAATGAGGTCAGCATCCAACCCAGTCATCGCACACTAAATGCTACTTGCTTTTCTGCACTAGTTAAACACTGATGTAAACAAATGAGACTAATTATACACACATACATACATACATACATACATGCATACATACATGCATACATACATACACACACACACACACAGGTTTTCTACTTTCTCAACTCTGATCTCAGGAACTCTACTTAGGAGACATGATGCAGGTAAATAACACAGCCTATCTTGGCAACTGCTCTGGCTTTCGTAATACTCAAATTCCAAGATGCATCTAAACTCTAACAGCTTTGCAAGACAGCTTAATAATTAGTAGGTCGAAGGTCATGATTTATCTAGTCTCAATTCCAGCTACTGAGAGTTATGCAATTCCATATATTCCACGTGACACCGACTAGAGTGAATCTGACTGCTTAAGAACCATGTGCAAATGAAGAAGAGCAGATGTAATCTCTGTGGGTATTTAATTTGCTAGAAGTACATGACTGATTTGCATCTGAAACACGCTCCCCATACCTCAAAACAGGAGGGCTGATTCCAGTTCACTGGTTAGACTTTTGCTTTAAAACTGTCTGGGGTATCTGAAGTTCTATAATAAGGTAAAACAGCAGTAAGAAGTGGTAATTACACTGCCAAGGGATTTCTCAGGCCTAGCATGGGACAGAAGCAAATCTGTAAAATTGTAAGAACAATGGCTAATCTTCCTGTTTAAGCAGAACAATGTTTCACAGTGCTGAGCCAGAACAACCAGTCCTTTGAGGGGGCTAAATCAATGTTTGAGATAAAAATGCAATAGCAGAAGTGGTGATATGGCAAAAATATACAAATCCAGTTCCAAAAAGCTGGGACAGTACGTGAATTGCTAATAAAACAGAAAGAAATGAATAGAAAATTCTGAAAACAGTAAAAACACAATATTTTACGTTTAACCTTATGAACTTCATTGTTTTTTGTAAATATGTGCTCATTCCAAATTTGATACATGCAAGATGTTCCAAAAAGTTGTGACAGGAGCATGTTTACCACTGTGTTACATCAGGACATAATGATCATTTGGAGACTGAATACACAAACCGGTTCAGTTTTGAAAGGCCATTCTTCTGTTATACAAGTCTTCAGCTGTGCAACCATATGTTTAGCAGCTGCGCAACCATGTGTTTTGCACTAGTTTTTAATGGGAGACATGTCTGGATTGCATGAAGGCCAGTCTAGCACTCACACTTGTTTGAAAACACAGCAATGCAGTTGTAATGTGTGCAGAATGCGGCTTAGCTTTGTCATTGTGAAATAAGCACAGATGTCTCTGAAAAAGATGTCACATAGAAGGCAGAATACGTTGCTCAAAATGTTTTTAAATGTTAATGGGGCATTCACAGATGTGCTAGTTTCCCATTAATACCCCCTCATGCCATGACAGACCCTAGCTTTCGAATTTTATGCTGATAATAGTCTGGATGGTCTATTTCTTTTTTGGTGCAGAAAGCATGACGCCCATTGTTACAAAAAATGATCTGAATAGTTGACTCATTAGATCACAAAACATTTCCACTGTGCCTCAGTCGAGAGGAGTTTAATTCCAGAAAAGTCAACAGCATTTATGGATGCTGTTAATATATGACACTTTGAAGCATGAAATGACAGTGTTTATTGCAGGCAATAAACACTGTCATTTCATGCTTTAAAGTGTCATATATATGTATGTATGTATGTGTATGTATGTATGTATAATTAGTCTCATTTGCTGTAATCAAATAATGTCGATTATGGGCAAGAAACTCGGTGACTGTGCAAAAGGTGAAAAAAAATAACAGAAAATTATAGAGGAATAACTTACTGTTAACTTACTGTTAACATCTTGTAATTATGTTGGGAAATTGGGGTTCATGTTTCTTTAAGAAGTGTGCTGGTGTGTGGGAAGGCGATATAATCTATAATCACAGTTTTTGTTTGAATTTGTTGATCCACTATCCACTATAGAGGGTGAAATACCTGAAATCGCTTGCTGAGCAATATTATGTTTAAACTGTTGAATTTTTTTGCTGATGCATAGACAAAGTGGAAAGCCTAGACTATTCTTGCTCATAAAGGATTTTAAAGGAATGTATTCCAGGTCAAAGTATATTTAGAAATCACTGTTTTCTGTTTTTAATCTGCATTTCACATTCCAACATTTTTGGAATCGGGTTTGCGTTATCACGATACTTCAAGACATTTTGACTATAACGGTATGTATTGTGGATGGCCTTATTCGTCTATTCTTCGCTGCTTTAAAAATTTAAAGAGGAAAAACCGTCCTATTTTCAAAGAAAAATCTATACTTCTAAAGTTTGGTAAGATAGAACAGATAAAGCTCTAGTAGTGCCACATGTAAAAAATACGACCAGAAATTAAACTACAGTGATATTTCTGCAGATATTTCTTTACTACTGTACATGTATTTTGTCAGAAAAGCATATTGTGACATAACTTATCATCATAATGCTAAAACATCGTCATACTGCCACCCCTAAAATTTACTAACCTAATACCTAATGCAATTTTTTATCTCTCTTTTTATCAGTCTGGATACTGTTTTCATCTGTGAAATTAATTAAGAACTCTTTGGCCAGTGATTTCAGCATAGATTGCTTACTATTATACTACTACATTTATAATAAGGCTCTTACCCTTTCCTGGGAGGTCTGGTAGCGGAGGTGCAGGGCAGTGGGGTCCCAGTCCACAGCAATGTAGGCATTCCCTAGAGCTGCCCTGTCCTCGTTACACTCCACTGTGCAGCCTCTGCAGAACCTGGCAAAGACATGACAGCTCTCATCAGTCACTGTCGACCACATGGGAGCTTCAAACGCACACACAAACAGCCAACACACACACACACACATACATACATACACACACACACGCACGCATGCACACACACACACACACACACACACACACACACACACACACACAATGATGAATGACTTACCTGTACCACGGGCACCAGGCACAGGAGTGGCCATCTTTCTGCACTACCCGCAGGGTGAAAGGGTACTGGTAACCCATGCTGTCATCACTACACGACAGTAGCATGCATGTCATTATATGAAAAAACATTCACAAGAAAAAACAACAATACATAGAGATACACTTAAAATAAAAGCTTCAGACAACACTTTAAAAATCAAATACATTTTACATACAAAATTCACTGCCCTGAAGTATTTGTGATAGTATCTGGACCTCTAATCCATATTCCTGGAGGTACCTCTTCAATACGTACCAGGTATCATTTGCATTTCACATGCTTTCCCTTAATGCTGGCGCATAATATACGAGTGCACTAGAGATGCACATTTTTTTCCATTTTGTACACCTATGAGTGATTTCCTCACACTGCCAAGCATGCAGTTTTTATAAGACAACATGGATAACACTGCTTGTCTTATAGCTTGTAGATGTTTGCTTTCCATGTTTGGAACATCGTAGTCATGTTTGGTGTAGTCATGTGGTTGTGCTACTGTCCTTATGAAAAGTGGTTCAGAACACCACTATTTTTAGCTGTCTGCTTTATTTTTTCTAGTAGAACCATTTGCCTGTAGCATCCTCATGCGTATAGTTCAAAAACATTCCTAAACTTGAATGATAAATTCATCTATTCAAATAGGAACTGTTGTTTTTGGAAATGAAATTCAATTAAATTAATATTTTTTAACCAATAACATTGGTTGAACAACTGTTTATTTGACAACTGTGATAATGCATATGTGAGTACAACTGTGATAATGCTGCATATAATGTAAATGTATGTATATGAGTACAGACCAGTCTTGTGCATGGTTGCTGGCCTCCTGAGGGGGTAGAGGGCTGGCCAGACGGGACACTTGGATCCACACTGCATCATACAAGTCTTTTTTACTGGTGTGCACTGTGCAAGGCACAATGAGCGGCATGCCAAATAGACTGGGCCTGTTCTTCTGAGACGAGAGGAAGTACAGCTCCGTCCGCATCTGAGAAGACAGAGCATCAGCATTAGCTACAGGCAAACCTATGATTTCAAAAAATTAAATAAAGAATAAAAACAAAAGGGTTCTTTACAGTGGTGGTGGTTCAGTGAACAGACAGAGACAGAAAAATAATTAAAAAATGAACTCAGGCTAAATGTAATCAAACGGTACCATTTTTCTGTGCATGGCTATGATGTAGCCAATGAAGGGGCTGTCCTGAACTGGTGTGATGTGGCCGTTGGGGATGCCGTTGGTGAGGCTCCTGTCTGACGCAGAAGGCACCACTGTGCTGGGCATACCGTTGGCCAAGTTTTTCTCAGAGCCACTGCGCACGGGTGTACCAGCCGTGCCATTTGGAATCAGGCCAGGTTTCTCGGCATGACCGTTCCCAGCAGTGCCGTTGGCCATTAGTGTAGTGTCTACACAGAACACATTTAGAACAGAATGAAATACAAAAGGGCATGCATGGATTAAGAGGAACAGAATGCCAAGTCAGGGGTATTCCTCACCTGTAGGTGCAGGAGAGGAGACTGAAGTGGGAGAACCAGGCACAGGAATCTCAAAAGCACACAGGAAGCCATTCACAGACAGACGCACCTTCTGGTTGTCTTGAGGAAAGTTCTATAGACACAGACATATTCACTTAGATGTCTGCCATGACTGTGACTTCTTTTCAAAAGTAAACAACCACTGGAATCATTACAGTTAAACTTCATCAGCTGTCTGTAAAGCAACTGGAGCTGCCCCAGCTATGAAGTAATCTATACATAAAGTTATTATTATTATTATCATTATTATTAAATCCGAATCAATGTTATCAATAATCTAAAGCAAATTTTTACTGTGCAAAAGTCAGAGACCACCTTTCATTTTATTTCCAGTCAAAATGGCCATTGGGTAGAAGTTATTATTTTTTTCAGAGACAGTAAAAAAAGCAGAAAACATATTTAACAGAAAATTACATAGCAGCCTCAACAAGTAACTATACACTGATCAGGCATAACATTATGTCCACCTTCTTGTTTCTGCACTCATTGTCCATTTTATCAGTTCTACTTACTATATAGGTGCACTTTGTAGTTCTACAATTACAGACTGTAGTCCATCTGTTTCTCTGCATACTTTGTTAGCCCCCTTTTACCCTGTTCTTCAGTGGTGAGGACCCCCATGGACCCTCACAGAGCAGGTACTATTTTGGTGGTGGATCTTTCTCAGCACTGCAGTAACACTGACGTGGTGGTGGTGGTGGTGTTAGTGTGTGTTGCGCTGGTCTGAGTGCTGCTGGACTTTTTAAACACCTCAGTGTCACTGCTGTTTAGAGCGTCCACTCTTTGCAGCTTCTATTCTTTTTGGGAGACCTCATTCAGCTTTTCAAAGAAATCTGCAGGGATGCGTTTCCACACCTCCAAAGTTCAGTCTTAAAAGTTGGTTACATTTTCTACTCGTCACACATGAAGTACTCACAAACACATTCAGTGATGTTGAGGTCTGGACATTTCTCCAAAATTGTGTTCATGTCAAGGCAGACATTTATTAACTTCTTGCTCCCAAAGTACCTTTATTAGTGTTCAGTGTATTATTGATTTCACATTAGTGTGATAAGCGAATCTAAAAATTTGAATTGTAGTGCATGTTCAGCTCACCTTAATGTTGGATGAGTGGACCTCAGCCAGGAGGATCTGCTCTGGCTTCAGGCTGCACAATTCACTGAGCTGCTTCTTCAGGCCCGTGTACTTCTCATCCATGTTCAAACGAAGGCCGTAGCGTACTGGAGTGGAGCCGTCCAGTTTAATGACTGCAAAACACATAGGCGCGTGGGTGAGATTCATGCAGACAGACAGGTTTCAGGAGCGATGTGTCTGAGTTGCATTTTTGCTCTGCTTCTCCTCACCTGTGATCTCTAAGTGCATTGAGCTGTCCATGGGAAGAGGTAAAGACAGGAAATTAAAGGGGTCAAAACGGGCACTGATGTGGCCGCACGTCTTGCACTTGACTTGGGACTTGAGCTGGCCATGGAACAGGTCCACCACAATGGAACGGTTTCTTCTCAAATGGTTCTCCCAGGCCTAAACACATACACACACACACACACACACACACACACACACACACACACACACACACACACACACACACCAGATTCATCAGACTCTGCTGATCCAGTTAATTCCACTTTAATGTCCACAGGGTACAGCACTTTTACGCACTGCCTACAGGCCTCTTGCTGTCTTTTCATTAGTGCAGCATCAATATGAGCACATTAAGGCTCATCAACCCCTTAAGGAGTGCTTAGCTAAAGGAGTGATTTTCACTGAGCAGCTTCAGTCATGCAGTCAGGACCTCTGAGGGTATGAGTCGCGTCTGAGCGCTGGGAGATAACATCCCACGGAAAAAGCTAATGGCCTGACACTGACCTCCGTGGCCACTTCAGCGTCTGGCCGCCCATCGCTGTCTTTCAGCTCCACATAAGGCTTTTCGTGGACCCGATTCAGATCCTCATGGAGCCCATCCAACAAGAACGCCAACAGTTCCTGAGAGTCCTGTTGCTGGAAGCCATTGAATCTTGGTGCGTACTTTGCTATCGTCCACTAAATCAAGAACAAAAAAATGAAGCTTAGTATGTGCACTGTGAAAAGTGTCAAAAATGAAGGATTTCTAAACTAATAATAAATAACTAGGTACAAAGATGCCCACCCTGAGCTTCAGAGGTGCCACGTTCTTTTGTGTTCCACTCCAGAGCTCCTGTACCAAATCTCCATAGCATTTGGCCATATGACCTCGCATTCCAATGGGATTAGTTCTGTCGAGGTAAGTGACTGAATGTCATTCATTCACAGAAGGGATATAATCTAACAATGCATGCTTAGCATATGCTGGCCCACCAGCCAATCATCATGTCATACTAACCCCCACTGTTTTTTTAACATGAATCTATTGTGGCAAACAATCAAAGTTTGAGTGCACTTTTGCAACAATTAACATACAGGGTTTGAATGCACCACTTTGTACTGTTTGCATTTTAGGGATGCACTGTAGGCTGTGGGAAGATAAACCAGCAGACAGATGTCTTAAAATGGTATATATTAAGTGGTTTGAAATGTGGCTCTTCTGCTGATTCTCTCCTGAACTGCCTTTAATATTTAGCTAAAGACTAACTTCAATATTGCCTTTAATATTTACCTAAAGGCTAACATAAGTGAAAATACAAATTTTGTTAATGCTGTCAGTTTATTCACTTTTGACTTCTTCACTTATGTTAGCCTTTAGCTAAAAGCAGCCAACAGCAACCTGCATGCACTCACATTATTATATATAATAATATTAATTACATAAAGATAATAAAACTATTAGGGGGCTACTAACGCCGACTGCTCACTGCCGCATTGTTGCAGCCTAGTATCAAACAGTCCACAGCCTGATCTGCGGCCCAGTGGCTGAGAACATCTGCTTTGAATTACAGCTTCATCAACAAATTCAGTGCTAAGCATAGTTCTGTATTAGCTTAATTCTCTCACCTGTTGAGCTCATAGAGGTGTCTTCCTGAGAGGAAGTAGTCTGTGAGGGGCTTAGTGTTGCTCACACACTGAATACTGGAGTTCATAAAGCACGTATTTCCCAGGTTACTCAGGCCTGTAGCACCTTTCTCTGTAGGGACTGCAGGAGGCAGTGTACACCATTTTACTTTCAAAATTCTGTCAATTTATAATTGAAAAATAAAGAAAACACCCCACAAACAACACAGACACTGAGAGGAAACAGGATGGGTCAGTCAAGTTATGCTTCTTTGTACCTCAATAACTAACTGGTATATCTGGTTGTTTCAGCGACAAAAGATTAACATTCATCGTTCAGCAGATATTTAACCTCTTATCAGTTACACACTGTTTTGCTGTACAAAGCAATGTGCTGCTTATATGGGTTCAAGTTAATGATCTACCTTGATATGGCAATTATTATGAACCTATGTTAGTGCAGAATGCATAACACCAAGCTCAGATGAAAATCAATATTCTTCCTTGACCTCTGTATATTACCTTTGTGTCTGTCGATTTTGCTGCTGTTTGCGATGAACGACATTTCCTCGGGCCAGCTCATATCTTTATTTCGAACTGTCAAGAAGAGAAAGGATAAGAATTTTATTTTCTTCCTCCTAATCTTTTTCTTTTATGCATACTTTGCTATTTCATCTGTACTGCTGAGCATATGTGAAAGCAGATGAAACTAACCAGGAAAGAGATATACCCTCAGATATACTCAAAGTCAGAGACATACCCTCAATCACCAAATGCTGCTCGTCTTGAATTTTCAAACTTTCTAACGTGTGATCTTCATCATCGAGAAGAGTGAGGTCATTCTGAAAAGAGGAGATTTTTTTGAAGAAAGCACAGTTTTAATAGCTGTGCTTCACTCACTGAGCACTTTATTAGGTACACTGGTCTTGTATCTACACTCGCTGTTCATTTTATCAGCTCCACTTACCACATACGTGCACTTTGTACTTCTACAATTACTGACTGTAGTCCATCTGTTTCTCTGCATACTTTGTTAGCCCTGTTCTTCAGTGGTCAGGAGCCCCACAGAACCACCACAGAGCAGGTATTATTTGAGCGGTGGATCATTCTCAGCACTACAGTGACAGTGATGTGGTGGTGGTGTGTTAGTGTGGGTTGTGCTGATGCGAGTGGATCAGACACAGCAGTGCTGCTGGAGTTTTTAAACACCTCAGTGTCACTGCTGGACCACCAACCAAAAACATCCAGCCAACAGCATCCTGTGGGCAGCGTCTTGTGGGTAGCATCCTGTGACCACTGATGAAGGACTAGAGGATGACCAACACAAACTGTGCAGCAACAGATGAGCTATCGTCTCTGACATCTACAAGGTGGACTGACAAGGTAGGAGTGTCTAATAGTGGACAGTGCGTGGAAACAGCATTTAAAAACTCCAGCAGCACTGCTGTGTCTGATCCACTCGTACCAGCACAGCAGACATTAAGGGCACTTTCACACATCAAAGTCCAGACCAAAGTCCGAACCAAGGTTCATGTTTTTTTTTTTACATTATATGTCTGACATCAGAGTGTTGTTAATTCGACTGGTAGCCTTTTCAGTTTGAATGGAAAAAAAAATGTTCCTTTTACAAATAAGTTTCTGCAATCTTATGTGCTTTTTCAAGTTTTTACTTTTTTTGTTGGAACAAATTACAATGACATATTTCACCTCTTCCTCTCTCTGTGTGATACTGCAGCTCATTTTTACTCCTCTCTTTGTTCTTTTTCTTCATCTATTGTTTAATGGCTGATGACAGCCTGCCTCAAGTTTCCGTAATTGGTCCGAAAGTCTGAACCATCCAAAAAAGTGTTTTCACACTGCAAATGAACCCAACCATGGTTCAGTTTGATCGGGACCGAGACCACCTCTTTCGGTCCGACCAAATTTTGGTCCTTTGATCCGCACCATGGCCCGAGGAACCTTTCACAACTGCTTGATTGGTTTGGCGTGTTAGGGTGTGAAAGCACCCTAACACGCCACCAGCATGTCAGGTGTCACTGCAGTGCTGAGAATGATCCACCACTCAAATAATACCTGCTCTGTGGGGGTCCGGACCATTGAAGAACAGGGTGAATGGAGGCTAACAAAGTATGCAGGAAAAACAGACTACAGTCTGTAATTGTAGAACTACACAGTGCTCCTATACAGTAAGTGGAGCTGATAAAATGGATGTATAGAATATAGTATGAGTGTATATACAAGGAGCTGTTCCTAATAAAGCACTCACCGAGTGTATATGTTGAACATGATGCTTAAAATGACACATAAGCCTCTTTACACACCGACAGTCAGTCAATTACAGGGCTCATCTCATAGAAAACTGAATTTATCACTTTTTTGAAATAAGAGAGTTTGATATAGTATAAACAATGTGACTGTTTCAGGTACTGTTAACTCCCCACTCCATATGACTGGTGCTGCAGAGGGCCTAACCTCACTGTTGTAGAGCCAGAGACGCATGTCCTCCTCTTTGATGCGTAACCTCTGAGACAGATACTCATGGATGTCCTTAATGGTGCTCATGCGGCTAAAGCAACCTGTGTAGGCCAGCACGCGCTTCAAAGGAGCATTAGGAGATGGCACATTGCCTGTGGGGGGAAACGGAAAACGGAATTGCCCTCAGCACTCTCTAGATAACACAGCAATTCAATAAAACATAAGCATTCCAGGAAGAGTTGAGACATCACTGTACTCCCATACCATTCATACAGAATTCAGGACTACATGTCATTTCACAGAAGTGGCCTCAAAGGGATGTCAAGATATCATGAATATAATTGTGCAAAGGAAGTGAGAAAATGGAGCCTGCTCTTTATTCTCCAGCTGGTAGGGTGGCAAATCAGCGACTCAGAGACTCACCACCTAACTGCCAAAAGCAACTTCTCACTTTCTCCATTTTTAAACATTCAAAGATACAAAGTTAAAATACAAAGATAAATCAATGGAACTGAACAGAAACATTCTGTCATAAGGAACCCATATCTACTACAGAAAACATTTAAAAAACAAATTTACACAACAGTGAGGATTAGTTGTAAGGTAGCAGCAAGAAAGGGCAAAGGTGATTTTAAAAGTACCAACCAACCATTAGTCTGGTGATCAGGAGAAATGTAAAAAAAGGCATGAAAAACAAAACCAGCCAAACAAACAAAGTAAAAATCAAGACAGGAATGCTGATTAATGATTTCATAAATTAAAAGCCTTTGAACCCCTAAGCAAGATCATTAGAGGCAATCAACTGGAGAGCACCCATTTCTAACCATAACGCACAGCTTGCCAACTGATAGAAACAGCACTGTGACAGAGTTAAAACATCTAACCAATCCCACAGCAGTCAGGCATCGGATAGCCAAAATCAGATTAGTGGATCTCTAATGCTCACCAACACACTGCCTCAGCACTGTGCAATCAAGTTAGTGCTGTGCTTTGCATCCTTTCTTTACTTACTGCTTTTCAGGAAACCTGATAACAAGCTCCATAACCAAATGAGCCCTCAAGCCTAATATGACCTTACACAAACAAGCAGAGTTCACCGGCAGGCATGCACAGCGCAGGCAGAGATGGGTGCTAGGATCAATCAGGATTTTGAATTTTTAGTTTTGCGAGTCAGGAACGTGCAGTGTTTGCTGTGCCGAATCCCCGCAGAGTGCGTTTTAGGAGATTAGGTTGCCCAGGACGGTGGTGAGAGCCTCTCTCTTGCTGCAGGCTTACATTACCTCGGGGAAAGTGTGGAGGGAACATTCGCAGGCTGGTCATACCCATGTTAACCCAAATGTTGGACTGGGGGGTGCGCGTTGCTGGTTGCTGCCGCAGGAAAAGCAGGTAGCGAGGGAAAAGCTCCAGCTCTGTCTGGTCTGTGACAACAGACTTGATTACCTGCAGGCGCATGAACAGAGAAAAGTGTAGAACATGAGCTACACATCAGCTTGAGTGAATGGTAGAACAAGAAATTTCAGTGGTGTAGACCATTCGGTTTTAGTAGGCAGTAGGTGGCGAACCGTGACTATTAGAACTAAGCCTTCAGTTAGAACAATAAATGTCAAAACCTGGTCAAAAAAAAGGCAAAAAATAAAAAATAAAAATCCACACCTATACAATAATACTAGTTTCTGTAAGTACTCCTATAGGATTCTGGTAGGATGTTCGTGCAAAGCTAATGCACGTTAACATTTTTGGAAGAATTCATAAGCTGTATCACTCTGTAGGAATAGCCTAGATAACACATTACAATTTAATTATGCAAGATTAATAAATATGTATAACTCACTAACATGACATTTGTGGTGAAAAATCACTTCAAATGTAATCATAGACATTTTTCATTTAGTATGATTTTTCTATTAATATTCAGTCTGGGGAAAATTGAGCTACAACCTAGAAGGCTAGTTAAAATAGCTTAATGTGTTGCTAACATTCATGTTAAATGAAGATCTGCAAAGGGACCATGAAAGCATACGTACAAGTCTTTCCTAGGGATTTTCTCACTGTTGAGATACAGTGAGAAATAGTGGTTTTGATATTACAGAGAACAAGATACTAAAAGGCACTGACCTATTCTGCCCCAGGCTATCAGCCTTGTAACAGCAAAACTCTTCTCTTTCTTTCTTTTTTTATTTTGTAAGCATTCCTAGCAGTTATTCATTATAATGCCCATGTGTCTCACACCTGAAGAGCACCTTAAGGTTCGTTTTCAGTTCATTAACAAACTTGACTATAATTAAGAGAGAGTTTTATTTCCATGACTGTGCAGCACTGACTTTTTAGTGTTGTTAGTTTTCCTTCCTGTGTCAGAATTTCACATCCAGTAGTAACGGCCAAATATACGAATCTCTTACATATCACTACATGCAAATCCTAGCAGTTTTCTTGTGAGATATAGCGATATATACCTGTGTATCATGTAGACCAGGGTTTCTCAGCCTGTGGGCCATGGACCACCAGTGGGTCGTGAAGAACCCTCAAGTGGTCCGCGGGCCTGTGCTCAGGGGGAGGCAGCAGTCTGTACTGGGCACAGGCGCATGCCAGAGAAGTTTCTCCAGATGCTTTCGCCTACCTTGTTTGGTAAGGACCTATCAAACCTTTTCTTTAGTTTGCTTCATTTTCATGTGTGAATATGTCACCCGTATTCAGCTAAATAAACATCTAAATCAAGGACTGGCAAAAAACACAGGTTGGTCCACTTCCAAACAAACCCTGCTTCAGTTCACTGCTGATGGAAATGCGTTCTGCCTGTTTTAATGTCAGACTCTTTACAGACGCTTTCATGTTGTTTCTGCAGCACCAGCTGCAGCTGTTAAAAACAGACCCAAACACTCAGGTTTTCAGTGTTATCACTTAAGAAAAGAAACAGAAATCTGCATTTTAAAAAGCTGATTTTAGTTTTCCCGTGGGCCGCTATGCTTTGTGTGTATGAACAGGTGGGCCTTGGGATGTATAAGGTTGAGAACCCCTGATGCAGACTACACCTCTGCTTTGTCCAATATTACAAATAAATGTTTATAGCTGCTGCTTGACACAGGCATGTTTAACAAGAGACTCTTGGTAAAAGCAGTGATGATAAACAAGTAACACCTTGAGATGAAATGCCTTGTCTGGTCTTTGTGGTAAAGACAAGCAAACATACCGGTCTTGGCAGGCTGAGATTTGCTCCATACCAGTGGTAAAGCGCCCGCCATACCGGCTCTGGTACTGTCTCAAAGTCTCGGCCAGCCATCAAGTGCAAAGACCTCTTCAGTCGCCCACCCTCCATTGTTAACGTGGGTGCCTGCAGAAAAAAAGACGGCAGACATTCAGTTCTGTCTACTTCTCTTGTGTAAAACGCACAATGCATATACAACTTCTCCTGATACACAGCCACTTACGCTGAAGCATCACCTTTTTCAAAAACCACAGGCAGGCTACTGTCTGCTGAATCATTCCTATGCAGAAAGACTAAGGCGAAGGCTGACACATTTTAAAAGGTTTATTTGTTGTGACTGGGCTGTTAAATAGTGGTATATAATCTAACAACAAGAGAGATTCAGTAACCATGACAAGGTGTTATTACAGAGCAGAAAAGAAACACTGGTTACAAGCAACAACGGCATGAACCTCACATCCAAATCCATTTTCCTAAAAATCAATTCATACTGATTTACTGCAGCCTGACTGTTCTCAGCTTGTGACTTTAAAAAACAATAATGTTTTCCAGTCTATATAATCAGATGGCATAAAAACAAACAATATCAAGGTGTCAGCTTCCCTGCAATGTTCCACTGAAACTGGGGAGTAATGGAATTGTGAATCTCACAAAGCACCTGTTATAAACACTTTGGGAGCAACTGCTGCTTCAATTCCCAAAGTGTTGTCTGATGTCCCAAAAGTGGAGCAGCAAGAAGGGGAAAATAATAATAAAAAAAAACAACAAAACAAAAAACAACGCTTCCAGCTGCAGACCTTAAATAAACAAAAAGCTCTAAATCTAAAATAATGCTAATAGAAAACACGTAATTAGAGATGCTTCGATCATGAATTTTAATAGCTGATTCAGATTTTGATTTCTTTAAAAAATAAAATTGGCTGATGGCTGAAATTTTATTAGCTTTGAGAAATCATTTTATTATAATTTTAGGTTGCCATTTTAAGAACTGGCTAGGGAAAATAGATGAAAATTAGCCTATAGGGCTAACTCTGTCTCATTTATAGTATTTTTTCTGTTAGTTAATGAACACTGTCCCTGTGAAATAAATAAAATAAGTGAAATGAAATAAATGTTGAACAGAAGAATGGTGTTTTGGAGGCTGAAGATTGCAAAACCCTTGTCTGTCCTGATCTGCAGATACAACTGACAAATGAACTCACATCCACCCCTACCTTCATGGGATCAGTGGTGACTAAGGGCTGGTTGTCAATGGCGCCTGGCCTCTGTGCAGCCAGGTGGTTGGGCAGGTGGCCATTGGCGGAAGAGAAACACTGGTTGTTGTTGTCCAAAACATTGTGCTGCCGAGCGAAGCAGATGTCTGTGGCAGAGGAGCTCACATGTGGCATGTGACCTAAGAAAGTGACATCACACAGCAGGTAAGAGATTGAGCAGCTTACAGGATCAGAGCAAAAATACATACTTATTGTTAGAGCTTTAATCAGGCCTAAAATTCTGCCCGAACCGGCTCACAGACTCGAGCCCAACCACCACAAACAGTAGACCAAATAAAACTCCCCACTACTGATAAGTGGCTGCTACTGCAGTCTAAGCGAAAACATTAAGTAACCAAGTGATAATGACAGGCATTATAAGATCAATGATAAGCCAAAAAGCAAGCTTTAATTATCAACTATCCAACTCAAAGTTTAAACCTCACCTTATCAAAAGTATTCAAATCAACGCTTTTGAAAAAGGCTGGATAAGCTTTACACGATGTATTGTTCTCAGGCTGGCCAACAACACTGCCAACAAGTGCCAGATTTAGGCCCAATCCCATTTCACCCCTTGCCCCTACCACTTAGCCCTCTGTTTTGCACGTTCACGTCTAGGGTTAGGGTGTCCCAATTTTTGTTGAGATGGAGGGGTAGGGCGAAGTGGTAGGGCTACATGGCCCTCCAAACGAAGATTTTTCAGAGTCACACTCCAAACAGAGTGAGAAAAAAAAAGAAAAACTGGCAAGATGGCTGCGCGAGAGACCAAAGAAACCCACAAATGTAAGTATTTTCTCCATTAAATAACTACGATTACCATTGTATTATCTTAGTTTAATGTAGTTTCAATGTATTATGGTCGTTTTCTTCATAACAAGCATAAAAAAAAAATAAAAAATAAAAAAAATCACTAATAGCATGCTAATGTCTCGGTAGCTAGCTAGCTAACTTTCCTGTTCCACCTTAAATAGTCCAGCAGTTCTGAGGCCTGAAGCGCCAGAATGTAACTGCTGCGCCATTGAAGGTGGAACGGGAAAATTCGAACAAGAAGCTGGTGAATAACGGACTTCAGCTTCGTATCACCAATGAATTAGCGGGGGGAGATAATAAATAATTGTCTTATCCCCCCTCCTTGAAAGCATTTGATGCAGTAAATGTAACTAAACCCCAGCAGTGAGGTTGCTTTTCCTTCTCTGCTATCACTGAAGATGGTCCGGGTCACCTACAGAGCACTGCTAGTAGGCTATTAATGAGGCAATGCTTTTTTTTATTTCTATTTATTTTTTTTTATTTGAGAGTTTGTCCCATTTTGTAGGTCAAGATTTCAACCACTACCCCTTGTAACTCTTTTCCAAGGGGTTAGGGTGACACTCGAAAACAAGGGGTAGGGGTAAAAAGAAGAAATGTGATTGGGCCTTACAACTTAAACTAGGAAAACTTTAAAACTAGGAAAACTTTAAAACTAGGAAAAGAGAATAAGGTAGGGAGAAAATTAATGCCGGTCAAAATTCGTTAACGTCTTAAATGGCCAGGACCTGCGAGCAGGACCAAACTTTTATTACATACTTCTATAACCTAAGATGTGAAACCTGCCTGTGAAAACAGCTCATCGCTGTGTCCTTAATTGCAAGTTTAAACTTCAAAATGCAAAGAAGAAACCATATATAAACAGGATACAGAAACACTGCCGCCTTCTCTGGTCCCGTTCTAAGAAGGTTATAGAAGTATGGGACGGGGGTAACAAAAGGCTGGTAAAATTGCGTTTAATGCTAAAAAAACACCTGGTGGTGGGCAACAGGTCAGTAACATAATTGGGTATAAAAAAGCATCCCAGAGAGGCTGAGACTTACAGAAGTAAAGATGATGAGAGGTTCACCATTCTGTGAAAGACTGCACAATCAAATCAAACTGCAACAATTCAAGAATAACGTTTCTCAACGTAAAATATCAAAGAACTTTTGCTTTTCATCATCTACGGTACATAATATCATTAAAAGATTCAGAGAATCCGGAGAAATCTCTGTATGCAACGGACAAGGCCAAAAAACAGCATTTGCTGGCTGTGATCTTTGGGTACTCTGCATTAAAAACAGACATGATTCTGTAGAGGAAATCACTGCATGGGCTCAGAAACACTTCTGAAAAACCATTGCCTGTGAAAACAGCTCATCGCTGTGTCCTTAATTGCAAGTTTAAACTTCAAAATGCAAAGAAGAAACCATATATAAACAGGATACAGAAACACTGCCACCTTCTCTGGTCCCGAGCTTATTTAAAATGGACTGAGGGCAAGTGGAAAAGTGTCCTATGGTCCGACAAATCAACATTTTAAATTCTTTTTGGCAATCATGGACACTGTGTCCTCTGGGCTGAAGACCACTCATCTTGTTATCAGTGCACAGTTCAAAAGCCAGTATTCATGATGGTATAGGAGTGCACTTTTGCACATGGCATGGGTGACTGGCATATCTGTGAAGGCACCATTAATGCTGAATGAACATACGCAGGTTTTGGCAACATGTGCTGCCATCCAGACGACATCTTTTTCAGGGAAGGCCTTGATTATTTCAGCAAGACAATGCCAAACCACATTCTGCATGTATTACAACAGCACAGCTCCGTACCTGCCTGCAGTTTAGATCTGTCACCCACTGAAAACATTTGGTGCATTATGAAATGAAAAATACGACAAATGAGCCCCTGAACTGTTGAACAGCTGAAATCCTATATCAAACAAGAATGGGAAAACATTTCACTTTCAAAGCTACAGCAGTTAGTCTCCTCAGTTCCCAAACGCTTCCAGAGTGTTGTTAAAAGAAGAGGTGATGAAACACAGTGGTAAACATGTTCCCATCCCAACTTTTTGGCATCAAATTCAAAATGGACATAAATTTTTCAAAAAACAATAAAATGTAAAGGACAGCTGGTGTGTTGGATTGATGCAGAAAACTAAAAATCAACAAAATATATACATATATATAAATTGACTAATACTAATCTAGTTAAACGTGATCTATGAATGCAAAGAGCTAGTAACAGTAAAATGTTTGGAAATGCTCTGGGGTACTGCACTAATAAAACAATAGCTAAAATAAGTAATATAATAATACATATGTAGATTAACCTTACAGCTCTTCAGGCTGCAAGCGTCTTTCAACATGCTAGCTCACTCAACGTACTGTTTGTGAACAGGTTTCCAGGATAAGTGGATGACATTTTTTCATATGAGAACTATGTTTACAAAGGGAGTTGTATTTTAAGCTAATTAACCAGTTGTTCGTCGTTAGCTAGCTAATGTATCTATTTACTGCTGTGGATGAGCAGCCGAATGTTAAATAGTTTTTGAAGCAGCTGTGAAATACTTCTAATAAACAGACGGCTAAGAATATTCTAGTGACTACCGTTAGTGACTAACATTGCCATGATGTAACATTGTGAGTTTTAATGATAATTACAACGGTAACGTTAGCTTGTTCCGAAAATTCAACTGAATGAATAATGGAGTCTTGCTGGGTCTCAAACAAATACTAAAAACTTTACTCACTGGTAGTGGTGTTCTCTGAGGCCTCCCAGGTTCTGTCTGGAGATTTGTCTCCTGGTGAGCTGAGTGAGCGAGCCACCGCTCCAGATTTGGCCATGGCTGGGTCAGCAGCTGTGGTGGACTGGGGACTCCTCCTGCCATTGCCATGCATACCAGGCTGTTCCACCACGATGGATTTATTGTTCTTTGAAGACAGAAGAAGGTCAACCAACACAATATATCCTGATTGTCTATAAGGATTATAACCATTATGAAGCACCACTGCAGCACTTGTCGATTTAGCTATGCCACTTACATATTTTACATAGTCTTTCCACAGCTGCCACCACTGCATGGAGATGAGGAACCAGTTCTGGCCTGGCTGCAGTCCATGCCTGCTCTCTCTCTCCAGCCATCCCCTACTCAGACATACAGATGTAACCAAAGCCCAACAGACATTTTGCCAAGCTATGCATAACCAACCCAACACTGCACTGAGAGAGCATTCATTTTCTCAGTTTATTACAAATATACACATATTTCACACAATGAGGTGAAAAACAACAACAGCCACCACAAATTAAAGAGAACACCAGAAATTAACTAGGCAAAAGCTAATAACTATGAATCTGCAGCTTCTTAAATGTCATCATCATAACACACTGTAATTTGATGACCTCTACATAAGTACAATTTTAAACTAAAGAGTGCCATGGAAAGCTAAGCAAATATCGTGGGTGTCTAGAGACAGATACATAATGATCACGATCATTAAATTTTAATAGACATAATTATAACCATGAGAGGATGAGATGGGCAATGCAATTCAAAAACCAATTCCAGCGTATATTATTGCGGTCAGCAGAAAGGTTAGAAACTAGTGAAGATAAAAGAGGATTTTGCTAGTACATTTTGTTTGCACACTGGCCCGGACTCACCTGATGATCTGGCCCTCCTCCTCGGGAGCAGCAGGCTGTAAACCCAGGACTATGTGGCACACCTTATCAGAGAGATGACAGGCTTGAAACTAGGAAGAACATTTGACTGAAAGTGAAATCTTTAAACTATAGGCACATTTACATTACCTGAAAAAGCAGGTTGAGGAACTCGTTGGCAAGGGCACTCTTCACACTCCATATCTGATAGTCCTCTAGTGTTAGGTGCCCCTGCTGTGTGGTGGGACAGAGAGAGATATTAACGTTTAAAAAAAAAGAAAAAGGATGAAGGATATGCTAACACAGGTCCAAAAGGTTTTTGCATATATCTCAAAATCAATTCAACAAAAAATTTTGAGTTACTTTTGTAGTGTCATGCATCTTCAGGATATCTTCTACGATGTCAGAAACATTGGAATGCAATTCCTAAAAGAGTAAAAGAAAGAGATAGAAACTAAACAAACAACTAAGAACCATAGCTCTGTATCACACTCCTAAGGCACATGAAGCTAAACCAAAAGGATTTATTAAACTCTGAGTCACAGAGCTAATTAAGAACAGTATATCTTATTTGGGAACCAAGCCCAAACACGGCCATCCTTAATTTACTACAACCAATGAGGCAGACAGCACACACAAGGATTTAGAGATGCCTTTCAGTACAGAGGCTTCTATGCCATTCTCTAGCTAGAAATGATAAAATGGCACAGTGAAGATGCCAAGGCACCTGTAGCCAACACCCGATCTTGCCAAAACAGATTTGTTTTAGCAACAAAAGGCTGACCGCAGTACTACCCCAATCATGTGCTTTCTGCAGTTTCTGTATTCCTAAAGCTGGTTATGTGTTTAGAGCTTACGGGCAGGGTGTCGGTGCGGTTGTCCTTCCACACTTCCAGCAGGGCCACCACCATCTCATGCACCTCGTGTCGAGACAGAACTCCATCCCGATCTACATCAAATACTTTGAAACAAACTGCAAAGAACAAGGAGGTAGAGCTTTAGCAGCAATTATGTACCAAAATGATAAACATCTCAAGTCTTGCTGAATCAACTCTCAATTAAAATATAAAAGATAGCAAAAATCAAAGAATGCTCACATCAATCAAAACTAATTACAAAGCATGCTGCATTGCTATAGATAAATGGTTCCTAGAAAAAAAAATAAAAAATAAAAAAGCAGAACACAGGCAGAATTCACACTTTCCAACCCACACAAAAGAAATGGGTGTTAATAAGGCACATTTTAGTATTAAAAAAAAGGTTTGGTGGATTGATTTTTTTCCCATCATGTAAGAAAGAAATGGAATAGCTTACATTTCTGTCTTTCAGCCACAGGGCCTCGACAGCATGCTGAGAGCCCACAGGATATCTCCTTAAAGTCAATGTGATTGTCCCGATTCTCATCAAAGGCATGAAACAAGCCTGTGAAATGGGAGAAAATGTCAGTGTTCAGATTGACTCAGAAAATAACTGGATTTTTCAGGATGTTTTACATCTACAGATGACCCAATAGATTTCAAAAGCAAATTCCATCTACTGAGGTAATATCTCCTTTACCGAACCATGAAATTTCTCAATATTGTGAGTGCTGTACTGAACAGAAGTAGCAGGTGTGTCTGAGTGTGCATTAGAAGTCTAACGTGCGCATGAGTGCATGTGTGTCTGGATAACAGCTCGGTGGGGTCCCCTTAAAACCCAGACTCATAAATATTGCATTACCTTCACTTAGTGATGCATGAATAGGGGGTGAGACCAGAGGGACAAAGGTTTCCAAATCAAAGCGGCCGGTCCTTGACTGGGCCTTTAGAAGCCAGTAGCGCTTCTCCAAGTCAATAATATCCGATTCTTCTACTGCAAGAGAAAAGACGGGGAAATCACACACAGTCCTTTGTGGAAGCATTTTGATTTGATTTAGGTCATTCTAAATCATGTGGTGGCTAATAAGTCTGCAAGATTAACCACATTTTTTTATCTTTATTGCGATCATTAAGGATTGTGATGACGACAGATCAAACTGCAGAACAATAATTAGATTAGCAGGAACGTAGCGTAAGTAGCTGTGTCTAATATTAGTGGTGTGCTTGCCTTAGCCAGGGCTTGAACCACTTGGAGTGAGCAATTTAGCTACTATACTGCAGAGACAATTATAAAGCATACATTCATGAACAGCTCAAAAACTACTCTCTTTAACTTCTGACCCATAATAACACATCAAACGTGATGACTATTTTCAATTTCAGAGTTTGTGTAAAAAAGACAACTCTTGCGATAAAACTCCATAAAGACCAATTTTAGGGAATTAAATATATATTGTATTGCTTTCTGTTGGCTTATACATATAAAAAAATACTGATGCTATCAGGACAAAGCATCTAATCTCAATTTTTGTTATTTATTTATTTATTTATTTTTACCTTATTAATGAACACCAGCCACCCTTTACATTGTGTGAAAAAAATCATTATGAATGTACCAACAGAAATGGGCCAAAGTAAAATAAATAAATAAATAAATATTTTTAATGTTAAATTCTGTTATAAATTAAGAATGGTTTTTCCTTCTCCTGAAAAGTTACCATACTTAAAGTGCACCAAAAAAAAGTTTGCAGTTATGATGCGAATTGCTATTAGTACTTCAATATTGTTATTTTGCACTTTGCACATCAATGATTAGTGCTATTGTAATTCTTTCTATTTGCTTAAAGAAGAGATTAGTTAGTACTTGTCGCGCCCCAGTCAGAGATACACCATTTTAATTAGAAAGTGTCGCTTCCCATATAGTCACAACAACATCCAACAACTTTATCGAAGGTCGCATAATAGCCTAGTGGCTAATTAAAAATGAATAAATGTCCAGAAGCACAGTATTAATCAAATATAAGCTGTCACTTGACGCACAGCTAATGTGAGCTTGTTTCATGCAAATCTGAAGGAACATTACATAAGAGCTCAGCCTTCACTACTAAGTGAAAGCATGACTCAACCACAATGACAGAGACAGCACTATACAAAGCACTGGGGCGGTATAAGTGGCCCTAGAATGACTCCCCCCTTCATCAGCATAATCTCTAGCTTAGGCTAACAGGATTGGGCCATCCATGCCAAGGGCCCCGTTCAAACCACAGAGTCATACGTAAGGCAGAGGTGTCAAAACAGAACCACACAAATCACATTTCTCTGCCAAACATCATGCTCCTTTCAAACCTCTCCTCCACTGCTATTTGCAAAACATACACCATTAATTAACAGCATACAGCCAGAATAGAAAATAAACAGCACTGCTCCCTGAGGCCTACAGATGGCTTAGTCAGCCAAATCAGAAGTGAATGTTGCTCTGGGTAGTCCTGTAGTTAGAAACTCACTCGCTTTATACACATGTCATCAAGTATACTTGTGCATAGTGCTAAGTGGTATTGATAAAATATCACAATATTTTCCAAATACTTCATGGTATTAAGCTTGAATTAATAACCCCATGCTTCCTGAATACTGGTACTCTATGCTAAACTTATGTTTTACAAAACAAGATATCACTTGTTTTGATGTAACTGTTTGTCTCTTTTTTGTCTTAAAGGGCCCATCTCATGGAAAGCCAATTTCTTCCTCCTTTTTTTTTATAAATAAAAAAGTTTGACATAAAACGTAAACACTGGTACATTTTCAAAATGTCTTATTCACTCCCCAGTCCATACGTCCTATATATGGAAACAGCCCATTTTGAATTCACTGCTTTTGTTATGTCATGAAAACCAGCTCACTCACATACATCCATCTATTCAGTCTACAGCAGTTTAATTCTGCTCATGATGAAGAGTGTTTCAGCTAGATTAAAAATTACAGGAACATTCCTCAGTGTATTTCTACTTACATGTTGACAGGGCTGGTGCTATTTTATGGAACCAGATCCATGGATATAATGCTCATTATCTATCTGCTAACCTATACCTAGCACTGCTAAAACTAAAGATCAATATTGTTGTATGGCACCAGTAGTAGTATACTGGTATAGATCACATCACCAAACACTACCTGTGAAACACAAATCTTTAGGGATGTAGCGAAATGGCAATTCAGGGCTAGTGCAGATATTGGACAGCTGGCAATATAACAGACCAACTAAAGCACAGATACAATCAATGATTCAGAATGTTATTTTTAAGGCATGAGAAGTAAAATGAGGCAGATTAATAATTAAAGAGTACATAGGATAGTGGAGCAGGCGAATTCCCATTTGCATAAAGTATCTTCAAGAGGTCCATAGAATTCCACATGATACACTGTCCCACTTGGTGAACACCAAAACAACATTTAACAACAGAGCTCCCAATAACGCGCATTCTATCAGAGTTTGTGATTAAATATAAATGTCGAGTAAATTAGTAAATGCAGTTAGCAGCAGTCATTGTTATTGAGTGCTCGGAAAGCACAATGATTACTTCAGCAGTAAAGCGTATCTGGGGGAAATAAGCACCTGGTTGAGCATTATGCATGGCTGCTGCATTGAGGAGTGACTGTTAATCTATAAAACCCATTACGCATGGTATGGATCAGCACAGGACCATCTTTCATCCTCCATTCTGCAGCCCCTCATCTGCCCATGAGCAGTCCATTTCATTTCATGCACCAGTAATGTCAACTAATAACGGCTTATGTACCAAACGGGAGCTGAGGCATAATTTCATCCTTCGGCCCAAAATTGTTGGCCCATCATGCTGTTGAAGCCTGTTTTTGCAAATTAGTTCTGCTACATTTCCATACCTCACCTTGTTTTCAATAAACGTGTCAAACTGAGCAGATAGCCCCTGACTGAGCACAAATAACAGGGTCTGCACTGAGCAGTTTGCTTCAGCTTTTGAAAACAGAACCTTCAACTTTGTGTTAATGTCTCAATCACACTAAACAGCAGACGGCAAAGCTATTAAAAAGACGTTCTAGAAAAACACATTAAATTAAAAACATTAAGTTAAATAATTAACTGATAATAGCCATCCAAAAGCTAGAAAGCATTCAATGCCAATAGCTGTAGGTCTAAGAATGGTTTGTTAAACAAAAGCAACAACAACCAAAAAAAGCTACTCCTGAGAGACATTCTAATCAGAAATGCAGAAACGCAGTACCCACCTAGAGGTGCAACTCTGTCAGAGTGGCAACAGAGGAACCATACCATATTCCACCGTACATATCACGGCTTGGGCTGCTGGAGGTGGTGTGGACCATAGTAAACTCCACACAGTTCTGCGTCACGTCAGGAAAAAACACAAACTTGCCATCGGGGTGTTACACCTGAACCAGTGCTTTTCTCTGAATTTCTACATAATGCTAGATAGCCAGCCATTGCCCGGTTCAACAGGGCCTGGGACATGTGCAAGGAGGCACATTCTGGAAGGTGCATGGAGACACACAGGTACAGATCACAACCACTTCACATCAACCACACATACACACGCCTTGCTTCGTTAAGAGGATAATCTGGAGCAGGCAGCAGATTACTGCGTGGCTCTCAAGTTCCCTCTCTGATTGGTTTTGGACAGGAACACAGCATAAGAACTTTCCAGCTCTGTCCTTGATTGACAAAACAAACCCAATCTAAATTTACCTGGTCATTTGCATAAGCCAACTGCTTTTGTGTTACATCTTACATTTGGCACCACAACAAAAAAAAGACAATGGAGAAAGACTGAAGACAGAATATGTAGGTGTGGCATCTTTGTGGGAAGGAACTCCAGGCCTGGGTAATGTCTAAAAATAAACAGCACGATATTTTCTAGTTAAAAACAAACAAAATTGTGATTACCGATGATTCCATTCATGTGAAGTAAATTAAAAAGAATCTGTGCGGTAAAGCTAACATTGTGTAGCACAGACAAATAATACAGGCAGTATCTTAACAACCCCACCTCTGTTTCTCTCTCTGCCTCTCAGAAACTGACTGCCGGTGCACGAGCCTGCACACTTTTTTTTAAACGTTTGGTTCACAAAATTAAGAAATGAATTAATTGAATATGAATATGTTTATTAACAAAACTGAAACAAATAAGCAATAACAAATAGTGTAATAACAAGTTGCACAAAACAAACACAGTATCGTAATTGCAACCAAGCACAATGTGCAGAGTCATAAAGAACATTCAATACACCTATCCTTTAAACCTTCACCACTCATTCCTCCGTTGGTCTTTACTCAGTGTTAAATACTGGCTCCTGCACTACAACAGTGCATAGTTTAGCTAACAAACAGCCATTTGGGATTCAGCTGCATCCATATCTGACAAATAGTGCACTACTTGGCTGTAGAAGCTCAAATTTCAAAACTTCCACAGCACATTATTTAGGGAGTACTGAGTCGTTTGAGATTTAGCCTGGATTTGAGCCTATTTAAGGTAGATCTGACTGAAACACGGACATTTGAAGCGTGTAAGCCATTCTTGTAACATTCTTTAGTCTTTTATTTTGCAGCTTTACACTGAATCATAAGTACTATAATTCAAGTCTGTGATATTAATGATGGAGTGGTTTTGCCTGTTAACCATCTTTTAGCCTGTTCACTATTCTCACTTGCAAATGCAATGACATTCTTACACAGAAGAGGCCTCCTCATTACTCAAGCATTTGAGATTAAATATGGGAAAAAAAAACAACTGTATTTTACTGTGCTTTAAAGTGAACAAGATATTTTAAATAGTGCTGATCTAATGAGACATCTCCAGTGAATTTCAACAATAAAAAATTGTGGCATCTCTACAGCTATGAGAATCCAATCAAGCCTTAATGAATACTCTATGGATTATCTAGCTCTATGCAACAGTCAATCACCAAATAATGATTTTCTCTCAGCATAAACAATCTATACTGTTTTAAATCACAAATCCACACTGCCAAGTCTGTGCATCTCATTAATATGCTGCAATTTCAGGCTGGTGGCTAAGTGAACCAACTTACAGTGCTTTTCATTTGCATTTGTTAAAAAAGTGGCTCTGAGCATCAAAAATCTGTAGGCTAAATTACAGAAGTCTGCAAATGGAGGTCAAAGGATAGTTCAGCTAATATTCACTGAATATCTTACAGGCTTCAGACATTACTATTTCATGATGGCAAAAGCACTGAGTGACTGCATGGGTAAAGCATATTTGACCCCTAAATGCATCATCACTAATGTTGCTCAGTTTGGCTATGCCGGAGGGAGGCTGTCCAAGGGATAACGAGACAGTGAACGAATGCAGTCATTTCCTGCAGTGTGTCAGGCAGTGGGTAATAGCTGGGTGGTAGTGACAGCTGCAGAGTTGTGGAGCGATGTCCCCCTCCTTACAACAGGGCTGTGTATGTGTGCGTGCGCGCGTGTGCCTGTTCGCCGAGTGGGAAGTGGAGGCTGTCACTTGCTATTATCACACTCAGACGCCTCTCTCCCGGCAAAGGAGAGGGCCTTCGCTCATGCCTGCCGTGTGTCGGGGGAGAAGGCTACAGGCTGAACGGTCGGCTCCTCACACAGACAGCTGCAACACAGGCTTTGTACCGATGGGGAAGGGGGGGTGCAAGACAGCTTACACATCATCGGCTTCAGAAACAAAAAGTCTCATTGATAAAACTCGGTCAAACTAAGCCCAGGAAAGCCTGCAGCTTGTCCCCAAATAACATCAACAACCCAGCCACTTTGTCAACACAGCTCTGAAAACACATGCAAGCACATGGAAAGCACTGCCATCTTCTTATAATCCTCACAGATCTGTGTGTGTCAGTATGAGCTTTAAGTTAATAAGACACTAGTTATTTCAGTGGTCCTGTGCTCCTCTATGCCTGGGTAGAACTGGGCAGTGCCACTTACAATGTGTGACTCCAGCCAGCGTCTGGTAGAAGGTGGGCGTGTCACTGTCGTCGGTCAGGGTGACGCACACGCCACCCGAGAGCAGCCAGCGGGAGAACGTGAAAGCTTCTTTGTTCTGCAGGAGCCAACTCTTAAACTTTTCATAATTTACCTTCTCACCCTGCCAGAGAAACACAAAAAGACAGTGATTGTGTATGCGCAAACCATATACATTTGTATAAAATGAACTTTAATTAATGGCATTTTTGACTGGAAATTCAATAAATAAATAAATAAACAGACAGACTTTTGCACAGTACTGTAAAGAGCAACATTTTAAGACATGTTCTGATGCATCAAGGTACGACATTTAAATTTTACTGTTACAATTTAATGATTTATTTATGGTTAAGACTTGTCTTTGGCCAAAAAGTAGAGAGGTTATTTTAAGATTATCAGGCTATTAATCATTTTAAATGGATATAAAAACAATTTACAGCAAACTGTGTTAACCTTTCTACTGTCAAGTGAAATCCTGGATGTGGATTAAAGACATACAACACTTTGGTCTCCTGAACTGACAGGAAAAAAGTGACAAAACCCTGCTGTTAAAGATATCAATAACACTGCTGCTCTGGGTGGAATCCCTAAAGAAAAGAGTGAGGGAGATGTCAGAAGGAAATACAGAAGAGAGCGAGAGAGAAATACAGAAGAGAGAGAGCGTGAGAGAGAGAGAGAGACTGAGAGAGAGAGAGAGAGAGAGAGAGACTGAGAGAGAGAGAGAGAGAGAGAGAGAGAAATACAGGAGAGAAATACAGGAGAGAGAGAGAAATACAGGAGAGAGAGAGAGTGCCTGTCAGAGCATTAAGTGACCTCGTTGGCAACAAATGATAAAACGGGCAAACATTTGCACTATCACCTTCTAAGCTCGGCATTAAAGAAGCGGTGTCACTTCTCAAAGGCTCTTGACAGTGCTAAACAGGCCAGACAGCTCTACAGTTATACTATATATACACAGTTAGACATCCAACAAGAGTCGGTGTTAACGCGACAGGCAGAGACCGGATTTAAAATTCAGCAAGCTCTGTCTAATCCAGTTATCACCAAGCTAACACCAAACTGGGCTAAATACTCCTGCTAAATCAACTCTCTTCATGCAAGTAACTTTCTCTTAAAGAATGCAGAATGAAAATGAAATGGTCTAATTTTGTTTTGTTGTCTCAAAACATGTTTTGGTTTATGCTGGAGCGGATACAGTTCAAGCTGTTGACATTTTAGGACAGTGTTCTTTACACCTTCTGCTTTCCATCAAAACCTCTGCCTGATTTCCTGCCTGGTGTTGATTGAGAAAGCATGATTTCTGTCTAGGAGCCTCTGTGGTCTGAGCCTGTGTAGGCGGTATTGACTGGCAGGGGAGAGTTAAGGCCCTGCCGGTGGGAGGTAAATCAGAGAGGCTGGTTAGTGCGTCAGGCAGAGATGGTAATCTAGCTTGACATGCGCCCGCCACTGACCTCCAAGAAGCACTTCTTCAGCGAGGGCGGCACTTCCCCGTCCACCAAGCGAAGCATGTTCTCCACCTCCTCTCGCACCACATAGCTGCCCGAGTCGTTGGCGAACAGACTAAAGATGTCTGTGGACAGAAAACCCAGCGGTCAATCCATGCTCTCACTTTCTCTTTCTCTCACAAACACATACACATCACCACACATAACATCAGAAACATGGCAGCTGCTCTTTACATTGTGTGAACATTTCGTGATGAATTGCCTGATAGAAATGGTTGAAAATTATATGGAATACAGTCATAATTAATCTTGTTTAACTGGATTTAGAGCAATGCAGAACGCAGAACAAAAGTCATTGCATTTACCGTTTTTAACATTATTTTTTCAATTCATTCTTTTTTCTGTGTTTCAACTTATCAAACCTCAGAAACAATAAATATTGTGATACGTATGTTTCAAGAAAATGTCATTTTTTTCATAACCACCCACCCCCTATATATATATATATATATATATAAAAAAGCCTCTGGTTCTCCAACATAGCTGGGACAATTTTGTCCTGAAAATGCACTAAAACACTCTGTCAGACACTCACACACACACTGCTTATCAGAGTCCAGCAGGCAGTATGCCTGACACCCTCAGCTTCATGCACCTCCACATCAATCACAGTTGTCAAAGTGTGGCACTGCTGCAGGGCCTTACATCCACAGGGAACGTCAAACTGCGAGCTCGCAAAAAGGCATCCAAGAGCCTCCTCAAAACTACCTGACTACATACGCTGCCAAGAGCTGCAGATATCTGTCTCTCTCTATGAAGCAGAACAGCTCTTTCAGGCTTATTTTCAAAAGTAAGGAAATTTACAGTAGATGTGTGAATATGCTGAGACCAGGCTAGGGCTGGCTGCTAGGCAGCTATTTTTAAAGGGCATTGCGGCGCACCCACTGGGAACTGAGTGCAGTTGCAGTACAGTGCGCTATGCAAAATAAGCAAAATACAGATAAGCTTCCGGCTTATCAGAACAACAGCATGCTCTATTTAAACTAAAGTGGGTAGCTTTGCTAAAAAAGATATATTTAAGCTACTAGGGATATAATGAAAGGGAAGTAGTGGTTTTGAAGATTTACATTTGGCTTTTTCCTCATCTCGTCCTCTTGTCAATAGAACCAGGCCCACTATGAGGTTGTTGAAGTGTAGCCCTTTTGGTGTGCCTCCAAATGAGTTGTAGATCACCTAGAGGGAACAGAAATATTGCAAGTTAAAAGGGAACTAAAACACTCCATGTGTATGTGGAAAAAATATCAAAACTTACAAATTTTCATTTAGTATTCTGTATTTCCCATCTTTTTGAATAGATTCAAGCAGGACAGAGTGCAATTTTGGCCCATAACAATATTGAGGCCCCTAAGATTCTCTCCTCTGTTTTCAGGTCTCCTCTCCACAGTATAAACCCCAGGCATAACCACCAGTGCACTGCAGCCTATTTAATTTAATACTTTGGGGGAAAAAAAATCTAATTTACAGAACTTTCCCCATACTTCCAAACGCAGTCAATGAGCCAAACCAAGTTTGGCATCCATCGAGTGTTCAGACACATCCTCTAATTAGTAAATTCAACTACTTTAGGGTGGACCAATTGCTCACACAAGTGTCCACTTGCATGCACACAGCTTGTATAGTCTCTGTAGAAAAGCTCTGCCAATAGAACTGGAAGCTATGGAGCAGCTACACAGGAACCAAAGGATACCATGCCCAATGTCAAGCGTCAGCTAGAGAGGTGTTAAGCCCTGAAGAATTGGTTTTAAGAGAGATGGAGTGATGGTGCACCATCTAACACCTTTGGGATGAGTTAGAGTACCATTTGTGATCCAGAACCAATGATCCAACATCAGTGCCTGACCTCACTAATGCTCTTTTGGCTGAATCTAATCAAATCCTCACAGCAATGTTCCAACATCTAGTGTAAAGCCTTCCCAGAAGAGTAGAGGCTGTTACTGCAGCAAGAGGGGGTCAAACTCCCTTTTAATACTATGACTGAACAATTAATTGATTCAGAGCTAAATCACCAACATCAGAACCTGACCTCACTAACGCTCGTGGCTGAAGACAATCAAATTGTCACAGCAACGTTCCAACATCTAGTGCAAAGCCTTTCCAGAAGAGTTGAGGCCTAACTGCAGCAAAGTGGGAGCACATTCCCTATTTGACTAGGACTGAACAATAAATCAATTTTATATCGAAATCTGCTATTTTAATTATATTCCACATTATTTACTGTTTTTCCACATTATTTACTGTTTTAAGAGGTTTTAAGAGGAGACATTTAACCCATTCAGAGCTTGTGAATGAAAATGCAAAAAAGAGTAGCTTAGTTAAAAAAAAAATTCAGATGTCATGTTTTCCACCTATCATTGACCCCCAAATAATAACCCTTGATTTTCAAAGAAGCTTTAGATAAGCAGGTGTCTATAAACCTTTGGACAGGTAGCACAGCTATCTTGAAACCTGGACTGGATATTTTATGGATAACAGTACAGGTAACAGTATGTCTACAGTGCAAGAAAGCACATAAGCAAGTCTACATGAGATTACTTAACATGGTTTCAGACAGGGAAAATTGTAAATTTGAAGTTTTGCCAAAATATCGGCTGCTGTGCCAGTGTGTTACACTATTGCATGAAAGAGTCAAAGTGAGATCAGCCATGTGATCCAGGCCGAGGATGAAGGAGACTGTTGGCAAACGAGCAGCAAACTGAATTGCATTTTTGAAGTCCAAGGTTAAGGGGATTGTGCCATATCTCTACAAAACTCCCATTTAAAAAATGCTATACAAAGCACTATTCACAGAGATACGGCAGTGCGTTTTCTATTCAGAGCAGTCTGCCCTGCTTCATTTCAAATCAGGAGGAGTTGGAAGACTTATAGATTTTTAGAAAGAGAAGGGTGTGTTTCTGCACTGACAGTATATCAATCTGCACAAAGAGGTCTTCACACGCCCGTCACAGACGAGGACGTGTCACTACAGAAGCAAATTCTTCTTCCTCAATGACAAACGACCTCGAGGAGGTACAATATGACACGTACAAGGCAATTATAAACTGAACTGCCCTGATTTAGTGGAACAATAAGAAGAAACCTCACGTGCCACTGGCATATACGAGTGATCATTGCCCTTTAATTACACCAATACTTGCTGATAATAAAGCAGGAAATGATGAAGGTGAATGTTCCTTAAACTGCCACAAGAGCAGGCAGGAAGCTGATAGGGTGCGATGGCGTTAATGACCATCGGAAGCTAGAAATCAGTGGGTGCTGTTGGCTGCCTGGCTAGCTGTCAATGAGACTAAATGAGACTGCATCAGTGCCCTCAGGCTCACTTATTACTGTGAAGGAATGAGCTGTGGGCTCCTCTTGTCACTGACCACTGATGGACAGAGGGCTAGGCATCACCCTCGGCCTACAGGCTAAAGATCAACTGCCTTCTGACCTGACCACACAACTACCTCCACAAGCGAGACAGATAATGTGTATGTCGGTATATGTTTCCTGGGTTTAATACAGTGGCAGAAATTTTTAGAAAATGTTTGCAGAAATTTTTTTGGCTCAGTATTTTTGAATTTGATTTTCAAGGCAATTCTGGGATTTTCAGCTCCTTAAATCAAAAAAACACTCCCCACATCATTCGTCTGTGTCGCAATCCAGTGACTTTTTACAGAACTATACAAAAGTCTGAGACCATCCTTCATTTTTTTATTTCTAGTCAATTTTGTCAGCATCAGGAAAAGAGCCGAAAATACATATTAATCAGAAAATTACACAATAGCCAACAACAAAATATATCATCAAATTTTCAGTGTATCCACCCTTTACCTTTATCACAGATTCCACTCCAGATTTTTCCACACCTCCAAAATCCAGTCAAGTTGGTTGCATTTTCTGCTTTTCACCATCCAAGTAATCCCAAACAATCCCAATAATGTTAAGGTCTCTGGAGTGGACAGTACATTGTTCTGAGAACATCAGCACCTTATTTGTTTGATTTGCAAATGTTCTTCTTTTTTGGGGGGCTTTTTTTGTCAGTAACAGCTTCTTGACAGCTACACATCCTTTCAGACCCACAGTGTTGAGCTGTCTTCTCATATTGGAAAGATGAACAAAAACACTTCTTCTCAGATTTTTTCAGATGTCATGCAAGAGTGGAGCTTGATTTTCTCCTAAAATCAAGCTGTTGATCTGATGGTGACAGTTTTAGTGCTCTACCAGGTCTTGCACAGTTCTTAGGAGTCCCATTCGTCTCTATATTTTTATCATTTATAATTTCAGTTTTGAAAATGCCTGTTTTTTTGTTTGTTTTCCTTTGACTTTCACCTTCCTTTTGCAGGCGGATTATCTTATATCTATACCCCTCAGAAACTTTTGACTGTAAGTCAAATAAATGAAGGGTGGTTTCTTGACTTTTGCACAGTACTGTAAAAACTATCACATTGACTAATCAAATCAGCCAAAGGTGACTATTGTGCCTTCAGAGAGACAAAAAAATGTAGCATGTTTTCTTTGTTTTAAATAGGATTCATAGAGGGGCATTTTCCCTTTACATTTCAAATTTCAGGGGCATTTTTGCTCCAGCCCTCATTACTTTCTGATGCTGCTTTAATGCCTATAGGGAGATTTTGGACTTAGGCATGCAAATGTGAAGTGTGGAAGTGTTTGAAGAAAGGGTGCGACCAAGAAGTAAGACTATAAGCAAACAATGTGTTGCCTATATGCATACATGGTTTCTACTTTTGACCCTGCACTTGTGATAAACGTGTTAGATGGGACTGATAATTTGAAGATGAGAATGCACATGCTTGAATCACTGTAGCAGGTTAGGTCTGCATCAGCAGTTCTCTTGCGAACAGAAGAATCTCTTGATAAAAGCATCACATGCTGCTTAGGGTGAGGAGAACTCACAAAAAGGTTGAGGAAGCGGGGCTAAATATATCTCCACTGCTACAAAATGGCACTCTATTTCTAGTGTCGAGCTTTTTTATATTGAATGAGTGGCACTTTCGCTCCGCCGAAGGAATTTCACTGGACAGCAGCCATCCGTGAAAGGCTGTATTTATGCCTAAATTAATTAACTTGAGTTGCTGAAGAATCATGAGGGGGCTCCTGAAACTTAACCCAAGAATTTAAAGAGGCAGCCGTAGTTTAACCTCTGAGTGTCAGTAATTTGTTGTGTGGCACTGCTCTTCAAAAGCCGAATCAACAGCCACAACACAAAAAATATATGATGACAGGCTTTTAGTTATTGGTTCCTATGACAACCATTGACTGTGGCAGAGGCAGGAGCCTGCCAGGTTCCTAAAAGTACAAAAGCCCAGCTCTTTGTGCAATACTGAGGGATGCGTTTTATGAAAGCTCTCTGAATGCAGAGTAATAAGGCTCTTAGGGTGAGGCAGGTGTACTTCTGCAGGCAGGGTAGGCAAATTAAAAGACTGTGGTACATATAAGAGTTACATTTTACAGCAACCTGCTGTTGGCCCCACAAAGACCACTTACGAAAATCGCTCCTGTTACCTGCATCACTTCAGTGGCATCACCCTAACAGGTCTGCGGCATTCAGCAAAATCAGGCTATGTTTGAATGCGGAGAAGTAAAAAAGGGAAATACATAAAAGCAAATAATATCCATGTGAAAATTCCCCTCTGCAAACATTTGGTTTCTGATGAAATAAAAACCCTGCACTGCGATGGACTGGCGACCTGTCCAGGGTGTATCCTGCCTTCCGCCCGATGACAGCTGGGATAGGCTCCAGCACCCCACCGCGACCCAGAAGGATAAGCGGTTTAGATGATGGATGGATGAAATAAAAACAATGACATTGGCACACTATGAAGTCTGACAGTGGCTAGTCCACAACATGGGCAACCATGTGGCAATTTCAGATCTAATTACAAGCTCCTGGGAATTAAGGGATGTGATTTGAAAGTTGAAAGCTGAGCATTAGAGTTATGAAGGCCCTTCTCCACAGAAATTGGAGTGTTCGCTGTTGTCCTAATGAGAAACATCATTAACTCACAGATGGCTGTTTGAGACAACTTCGGGAGGAAAAAAAAACAGATGATATTAAAGAGCAGAATAAGGATTCAGCTGGACTGAGATTTTGATCTCAATTTTCTGTTTGAGGCATGTCTCCATATGCCAACCCAAATTAACTGATGCTTCCTTTGGACCTCCTGGCCATTTAAATTGTCTACTATGATAGATAAACAAAATGGGCCCAGCAAAAAGGGGGCTTCTGGAAGCCATGGAGACAATGCAGAACAAGTGCAGACTGCTATGTTTCTTTTTAAGCAGGACTGAATACACAGGATTAAGAAGGTGCAAGTAAGCTGGTGGTCACGCCTGCCTTCCTTGCTTAAAGCAAACTCTGAAATCCAAATATCAAAAAAATTAGAGCTGTATTTTGTTTCTGAGAAAAGCTAAACCACAGGAAGGCCACCATCGTAGCTGCAGTGAGCTATATCAGACAGATTCATGGGTACAATCCTTCTCTACACAGCACAATGACTCAGCCAGGAAATTTGTTGTTGACAAAACATCTACCCCGAGCCACAAACCAACAAGTGGGAGGATGGCTCTGAGACTGAAAGAAGCAATCACACATTTTTGTGAGCTGGTAAAGGGGACAAATTACAGCTGGCGAAGCCAGAGGTACAGTAGTTAAATGCTGATTGTGTGTTGGTGCTTGGCTTACCTCTGCGACCTTCGGAGGAACGCCGTCTCCCAGCACCTCCCTGAAGAAGCACTGCTGTGTCATGTAGGCGGACAATCCGCTGGTCCTTTTAAAGGCATCTTTCAGCCTTTTGAGTTCCACATCGGTAACTGTTAACAAAAACAAAAGGCAAGTCATTTAACCAGATGGTGCAAGGAGGTGCTGAGGGCTTTAGCCTTCACATCCTGATAAGATAACATTAATACCACACTGTGTCCAAGTTTGAAAACTCATACTGCTGAAAGGTCAAAGCCATCAACACAGCATTCTGAAGGGCCTGAGAGTTACTATGATAGGGACAAGCTGGAGTCAGCATTTTGTCTTAATTGCACAGGCTCACACACACACTCACCCACACCCAGCTCTTTAAAGTTTATAGGCCCTTGGGCCTGAATTTTACCCAAGCATTTAGAAAGGCCATCACTGATTCTTGGCATTTCTAGTCTTGTAGTGTCTGGTAGGAATGAGGGAATTACAGGATGATACACTTTTCTGAGTATACTGTGGGTATTGTCAGGCATCTCAACACAATAAATAAAAGGTATGCATCAATTAAAATGTAATAAAAAAACACCATTTAAGCCAATAATAGAAAGTCTGTAAACAACAATGCATAGTTATGCTTACACTGCATAGTAACAAGTAGAATGACAGCCAATTATGGCACTCTTATTATAAATATTTTTAAAATATTTAAAATATTTATTTTTTATTCCTGTTTCCTCTTCTTCTGTTTTTGGCAAAAACTAGGGAAGTGCCAAGTATGAGTAAAAAAAGTAATAGAATCCTTTGCCTTGGACGACTATCCATTATCTGTTGTTTGATTTTACAGCACATACCGCAGCCCGCATACTGTCATTTTAGTTTATGTCATGTAAACTGTTTTTATTTGGTTTTTGATTTCAGTATTCTTTCCAAAGCAAACTGTTTGGGCTGAATTTCGGTTTCAGTTTTGGCCAAGGATTTTCTTTTTGGTGCATCAGTAGTAAATACTCAACTAATCAAACACACAGTGTATATATATATATATATTTTTTTTTTTTTTTTTTTAAACTGTTTTTTGGTGTTCACAAACTCCAGATAAACTAAAAATTGTTACACCTCTCTTGCATCATGAAAATGTAGTCAAATATCATGATGGTATATTTTTACCTTATCACCAACCCTTGCTTGCTGGTAAAATATATTACAACTATGAAGATCAGCTGAGGCACTGCCACATCCGCACAGGGCCAAGTGAGACCCCTGCTTTCACCGCATGATGCAATAACTTTTCTGCAGCACACAATGTACGGTGGGGCATTCTCAGCCATGCCTTCCTGAGAGTGGGGGAAGAATGGACTTTCCACTGCAAGAACCATTTTGGTAACAAAGGAGACCTAGGGGACTGTACGTAGCTCTGCGCAACCACAAAAAAAGTCTTGGTGCTGCAATCATGAAATCCTGAAGAGACAGAGGTGCTCAACACCAACGAAAAGAAGGCTCTTTTGAGACCCCATGATCTAGCACAGTGTGACTGGGAGTGATGTGCTTTCCCACACTCACAGCGCTGGTGAAGCTGGGCATTATGGGCCCCACCACAGAACAGCCCCCATACTGCTAGTACTTTCCTGCCTTTTGTTGTTACCTCTCTCTATTCCTGGATCCGCTGTGATGTTTTCCGGCTAAATGAGCAGCAAAGAGCTGCATCTGAGGTTAACTGTGCGGGGTGGACACTTTCACCTGACCTAGATGAAACAAGCTTCAAAACATTTGACATGTCAAGCTGAACAAGACAATAATATTCAACCATATTCTTATTCGCAGCACTAGCCAGGTTCAGGGAAAGAGAAAAGAAGGCTGCACCGCTCATAGTTTTGTCCAAGAAAAAAGAGCCTGACCTACAGTGGCTATTCATCTGCAGAAAGGATAAATCCACAGTGAGGACAGCAGTAGCAAGCATCAGTGAACACTTTGCTTTTATGCACTGAAATGTCCTCCAAATCGTAAAAGACCATTTACCACTTACAAAGGTCTTAAGTCACTCAGTGATCAAGGTCAATAATCCTCTCCTACTGAGCGAACAATGCAAACATTAACCATCTCTCTGTGGCAGGAAGGAAGGGATATGTTGCGTTATGACGACACAAGGAACTCACATTTTCATGAACTTACAACAGAGTGGAGAATAAAAGGAAACACTCCAGAGCCTGTGGGGTTATAAAAAAGGCCTTGGGCTAAAAGTTCCAGAGGTATTTCAATCAGGCAGGATGGTCGAAAGATACAAAGATACAAAAATCTCTTGTTCCAAAGATCTGGAGCACAGAGCATTGCTCTTTGCTGAAGAAAGGTGTAGAGCAGACACACACAGACACAGATTCTGGGTAGACCCTTTCTTTCCCTTCCAACCTTCAAGGTCAGGTAGGTCTTTTGAGGTATATCAGTATTACTGCCCCACCTAGTCAGCAACACATTTAAAGGGGAATTCCGCTGATTTTTTTTCTCTCTGCATAATTAAATGATTAAGGTGTAAACAATATCAATCAGAGTGGCTTAATGTGAAATGCTCTGTTCTAGATTTGAGAATTGTTCATAATGGTGGTGATAGGAACCAGATGCCTGAAGAGTTTAATTCCACTACAAGCTCCCTCACAAAGTTATTACATGAACTGCCAACAAATATGTTTGCTGATACCTGAGATGTTGCTTTACAATAGTTTAAAAGTTAAGATTTTGACCTTAAAATGTTCTTTTTCAAATATAGGGTGTCATGCTAAACAGTCCCTAACATTTTTCTTTGGATTTAGCACTATATTAACATTTTCAAAATTACACATTAAAAAAAAGAGATGTGTAGGTTCACTGATTTGTTTTACACAGTGAATAAAATGGCAGACATCGTAAAGCCTGGTTCCTATCACTACCACTGTAAAGAAATTTGAGTAGGCAAGTTTCTCTACAATTAACTATTTCACATCAAACTACTCTTATTGACTTACAAAGACAACTGAATTATGCATACATTTTAAAAATATGTGAAATTCCCCTTTAATTCAACAGAAAGGCATCTGATCATTTTGTCTCCTTTGCCAGTGGAGAACAATATCACAAAGGAGATCCTATTCCACATTAATAAACACAATATGAGGAACATCGTCCCTGTGCGGAAGTCATGAACACTGACTTCATTTCCACACAACTGCAGAAAGTCGCACTCAGTGAGGGAACTCTCTCAGTTCCCAAGTCATTAAGGGTCAATTAAACAGTCTGCTTTGGCAATTTTCAGGCCAGAGTATGAGAAAATGCTGAAGTGCTAAGCGAATCATAAGACCAGTTTCCATGGCAGATTATTCTGAGCGATAGCACGAGACCTCTGCTATTCCAGTGTGCATAAAGATAAATAAATAAATTCCTGCTTGAAAGTCGTGGCAAATTGAATTACCAGAATAATTTCAGCGGCTGATCACTCCCTGGGTGTACAGCAGAAACTCATCAAATACAAATTAAACTTCAGAGTCCAAAGTCAAAAGGACATCTGAAATAAAGAACAGAGCTTCAGGCTGAAGCGGCTGCCAGGGTAGTGTTAAAGAATGCTAAATGTGATGAGCTGTAGAGAGAGCTGATACAAAACCTTAGAAATCTTTATTTCACAGTGTATTGAGCAGCCTAATGACAACATTGCCAACCACACGCTTGCCTTATTCCTCCTTATTGAAAAGAGTATTATAAAATATTAGTCGCGTTCATAATCCTTTCAAGATTATGGTTAATTAGGCTCACATGAAACACTGGCGCAGAGTGCTGTTCGCTAATGCGGTGGAGAAAATGAGGAGAAAATGTAAAACGGTTTTCCGCTGGGGACTCGTGTGACAGTTTATCACTTTGAAATGACAGCCACTGCAACAGAGCTAGATAAACTGACTGCTAGAGCCTTCCCACCCTCTTTGATTTCTTTTGCTTCCACCCAATTTCAAAGACTGTCACGTCTGAAAAGGGGGAGGGTTGCTACTTCTATAATACTCACCCTTATTTTGTGACTTGAGCCTTCAGGATGCTTCGTATTTTACAGTTAAACTAATTCCAGAACTCTCTTCCACAGAAACGTGACCTACTTTGAGCTCCCAGTATGCTCCTAATATGTAGGTCTGTAGGTACAGGCAACCTTTAATTCAAAGCAGAGGACTCCAGGCTCAGGCCTGGTTCAAAGGAGAAGACATGCGAGCTAGCCTACATGAAGGCAAACTGATTTCTCAAGTTGATTCTGTATCATCTCAGCCAGATTCTCCAGTGTGTAACCTGCCAGGGCATGCTCTCAGCCACTCTGAAACAGAAATACTACAGCTCACTCTACAACAGAGAGAAAGAGACAGCATTGTCAGCTGGCCTACCAACAGCAGGGGTGAGGCCCTGAAAGTCAATTTGAACATCCTATAATTTTCTGGTGCTCTCACGCCAAACAAGCATGGATATTCATGAACATGTGCCTATAGTGATTTAAAAACGATGATTATTAAACGCAAGCAAACCTCTTTGTTTTGCAAACCTCTCTAAGAGAGGATGACGAAATCTGAGGACAGAGGCAGAACACAGTAAACTGCAATACATCAAAAGGTGTCAATGGAATCCTGCAACTAGGAGGGTTTCCAGAAAGTGAAAACACAACACCTAATGGAAAACAGTCACTGTTTGTTGTCTATTTGTATTATGACGCTATGACATCAACATAAAAACTAGGTAACACAATCATGACTGCACCGTAAATGCGCCACTGGGTGAATGCAGCAATTCCAAAACACATAATAAGCTAAAAGACAGTCCGTTTCATACTCATAAGAACACAATTCAGACACACCTCTGCTGTGAAGAAACAGAAAACAGACACACTATGGACAAGTTTCCAAAACACAAATAAAGGCTAGTCTTTGAAATTTTTAATTTTAATGATGATTCTTTACAGCAAATCATTTTTAGCCTTGGTTTAGGCTCAATCTTCATCTGGGGTACTAGCCCAAAGTCCAAAAGATTTCTTCCAAAATCAAGGGTATTAATAGAGAGTATGTATTTCCTTTCCTGATGTAACTGCATCTACACTTCTAGGAAGGCTTTACACTAGATCTTGGAAGACTGTTGCGAGGACTTGACTGCAGTCAGCCACAAGAGTATTATTGAGGTCAGGTACTGATGTTGGATGATCAGCTCTAGATCACTCCCAAAGCTAGTGGATGGTGCTCCACCACTCCAGAGAAGACAGTTCCACTGCTTCACAGCCCAATGCTGGAGAACCTTATACCCCTTTGGCCAATGCTCAAGGGACATAAGGTGACATTAGATGACCTTAGGCCCAAGTGTGGCTGCTCCAGAGTGTCCCACTCTGTTCTGTGGACATTCTACAAGCTGTGTGAATGCCTATGTCAGCAATGGGTGCACCACAAAGCAGCTGAATTCACTATTTAGTAGATACTTTTGGACCTACAGAGTAGTGCAACCCAAGAAGCTAATGTTATTATCAATAAACTAAAACAAATTATATCATGCTAATTGGTAGATACTGGATTCCATTCACTGGTATATTTAGACAAGGAGAAATAACTGTACAGGCCTGTTTTTCCCTAATGCACCAACAGCCACATCAATTTGGGGCACTGAAGGTCAAGAAAGTCAACAAGTATGGGATAATGTCAAGCAGATACAGAGGGGACACAGAAATCGGTTTTCACCAAAGCAGTTGTCACTTTGACGGTAATGAAAATCTCTAACCTGTGGTTGTGGCAAAGGCAAGAACAAGATGCAAATGAATGCAAACAAACAGCGGCATATTGCTTATTCATCAAGGTGGGGGCTGCTCGGACAGTGTCAGTCTTCTGGACTGCAAACGTCAGATGGACAAGCACCTCTGTTCACATCAAGCACACTGACCCGAGTGTCCTTCTGACTTGAGCGCCTCAGGAACACTGCTTGCACCATCTGTGTGTCCAAGACTTCTGTAAGGCCTTCATTCTTCTCTCCAAAGTACAGGAGCAACATTGATGTTTGTTGTATAGGACTCTATCCTGGATGCAAAATTCCCATAGCCTTCCTGTTATCATAAGGTACTGAGGAACAAAATGAGCATTCAGTTTTATCAGAAGCAGAATGGAAGAAGTAGGAAAGTATCATAAAAGGCACACCTTCTTAAAGTTCTGCTTTTTGGCGAAAACACATCTAATACATTCTTATGCTGCAATAAGTTTTAAAAGGAACACGACACCAAAGAACACTACAGCCACTCCCTGACAGAGCCAGGCAATATGACAATATTTAGAACATAACTAGTCCTGTTTAATTGGATTTAGCACAGAACAATGTGTGAAATGCTGAATGCAAATAACTGAATTTACTTTTTAATAGTATTTTTAAAAACGTAGCACTACTTTGTCTGTTGTAACTTAATACGTCAAAAATAAAATATATTGTGACACATTGTACATCATTAAAGTCTTCCTAAATCACTGTGATATTACATCTTGCCCCATTGCCCACCTCTACTTCCTGATACCTCAATATATAGTAGTTCACAGTGACCAGCTCCTCCAACTTCTCTAATCTGACCCTGAACGCTTGAAAGACAATCATTACACATACGCACTTCCACCTTTTATGTAAGAATAACCGTTATCACTTGCTTGACAAAAGACCACAGAATCTGTCTGGGACTCGATTTCTTCATTCTTTCAGTAATCGATGATTGATTAGGGCCTCTGGAAGTGGCATCGTCACTGAAATCAATGGACACACTACCACGTCTGCAGTCATTAACAAACAATCTAAAGAATAAATGGATCTTTTACAAAAATCACATATTTTAAATCAGTGCTATTCTGACCTATACAGTACATCCAAGGACACTAATAGTGTGATCATTTCCAACTGGAGACAAAGGCCGTACAAGTAAAATTTAATGCCTTATTATAAAAAAAAAACAAAACAATGGACAGTCAGTCCCAAGGACATTATCAACATGTACAGAGCTGAAACATTTCACGCAATTTCTTGTGTACACTATACAGCACGCCATACTTTTCAAACTATTCATGACTAGTTCATGCTTGTGGATGAAGTGTACATGCAGACAGGAGAGAATAAATAAAAGCTGTTTGACAAGGCAAGGTAGTACCTGCTTTATGAAGTAGAATTTGGGTCAGGATACTAATTCTGGGTCGGTTTCCCAGTCAGGGATTAAGCCTAGTCCTGGACTACGTTTTTCTTTCAAAAGAGAACCTCAATTCACAATACTGTGCAGTCCAAGACAAGGCTTAATCCCTGTCCAGAAAACCAACCCAAAATATCCAAAAGCATCCAGACAGCCTGTCTAATTAGTGACTTCAGCTACTTTAAGGTGCCCCCATTGCTGACACAGGTGTAAATTACAAGCACACAGCTTGTATAGTCTCCATACAAAAGCAATGACCAACAGAATGGGACACTGGATCAGCCGTACCATGACAAATGGCAAGTGATGACTTAAGAGGTTATGACGTTCTCCAGCATTAGACTGTGGAGCAGCAATCAGTATGAGTTGTAGTATATGTGGGTTATATGACATATAACATCATGATCCTCAAAGACAATTTTACAGTACACAATATGTATCACAACATTTAGTTTTTCTGAGATAAGTTATATATCATTAATAATAACTAATAGAATCAGTGTCACATTTAAATATGCAATGAAAAACTATGAACACGGTGATTATTGTTTCATATCCTTAACTGCACTAAATACAATTAAACAGGACAATCATGCTCTCCTAGTGATGAAACACGCAGTCGTTCAGTGTACTTGAAGTACTGACGATATCCACGGACAGGCGTATTGTGGCAAAACATATCACAATAATGATAAAATACCGTCATATTGCCAAACCCCTAAACTGTAGTGGCGTTAGTGATCCAGAACTAATCATCCAACATCAGTACCTGACCTCACCAACGCTTCTACGGCTGAATGCAATCAAATCCTCACAGCAATGTTCCAACATTTAGTGATATCGCAAAACAAAAGAGGCTCTTGCTGCAGCACAGGGTGAAGAAACTCCCTATTAATACCCTTGATTTCACAAGATGAGCAGGTGTCTACAAACTACACAGCAGGTCGGTTTCCCGGTCAGGGATTAAGTTTAACGTTAGTCCTGGACAAGACCTTCCTCACAATAGAGAATCCTCATTCAGAATGCTTAGCAGTCCAAGACTGGGCTTAATCCTCGTCCAGGAACCGACCCACAGTGTTACAGAGCTATAGCCCTCAGGTTAGGTTTCACCACTGAGTGTCATATTGAGCCTGACAGCAGCGAGTTAACAAACTCGGGGGGTAAACAAACTCGGATTGCTCAAAAGAAACTACAGCGCTTAACAGGTAGCCGCATTGTTCTTTGTATCAAGAAACATGTTTCACATGGTTCTTCAAACCACGAAACACATTTAAAGCAGACACGTAAACAGTTCAGCAACGTGACCAGGTGGACGGAGGGAGGGAGCGCACAGCCGAGACGAAAAACTCCGTAGAGTCGGGCCGCCCTGCCCTGGCTGTGTCTGTGTGGGAGCAAAGCTAGCTAACGCTCCCAGTCCACATACCAATAACACACACACACAACACGCTGCTGCTTGCAGGACTGTACGAACCGCTTAAAGAGAAGGCGCGTCCAAATCAGACGGACCCCACCTTCAGGACGGGGCTGAAGTCAGCTTCGTGTTCGAATTATCCCGTTCCACCTTAAATGATGCAGCAGTTACATTTTGGCTCCTCAGCCCGAGGCGCCAGAATGTAACTGCTGCACCTTTTAAGGTGGAACGGGATAATTCGAACAAGAAGCTGACTTCAGCCTCATACCTTCAAGCCCAGCCTCAAACAACGGCAGCCGGCTAGCTACAGTTAGCTGTACGGCTAGCTAGCTGCGTTAACGGTTCAACATGTCTGCCGAGCGTCGGTTAAAGCCGAGCCGCGTTAGCGCTGCTGAGCTTCTCGCTGAGCTACAGTCCGCTAAAGCTAACCAGGTAAAGCGCATCGGCAATCCGCGATTAACGGTTACCTCTTTTGACGGCCTCGTCGTAAGAAAGGAAGCCTATCCGTGACTCTTTGGCCCCCATGTTGCCCTCATTTCACTGGACTGTGATATAAATAAGAGCCGCTGAGCGCGGGAGCGGCGCCTGTTGCCTCGGTACCCGTGACTCTCCGATCAGATCCGTGTCGTTTCTCTCTAAACTCCAGTTTTTGGGTTGCAGCGAGTGACGCGCCTCGGCGGCCCGGTCACGTGACCTCGACTCCGCACGTCACCTGACGAACCGAGAGGAGCAGCGGATAGTAGAGGCGTTGTTGTTGTTGTGGCGGTGTGGGTGGTGTAGCAGCGTGTGTGGAGGGAAGCTAGGTGACTTAAAGGGGAATCCACTGGCTGTTTCAAAATTCCTGCATAATTATAGTATTAGTATGTAAACAAAGTCGCCCAGAGCGGTTTGATTTAAAGAGCTCCATTGTGGAGAAACTCCCCGAGTCACAATCGTTCACAGTGGTGGTGATGGGAACCAGAACTAAGTCCGAAGTGTGTGAGCTGCCTCACAGAAAGTTATTACACAAAATGGCTATGAACGTGCTGCCTGATGTCCGGGACACTGTCTCACAATATTTTTGAGGTAATATTCAACAAAAAAACAACAGTTTCACTGACGAATTTTCCTCAGTGAAAGTGAACTGAAGAATGGGCACTTTTTTATTACTGATATCAGCTGTTTTCTTTCTAGTAGTGAAACCTGTATTTTATAATTATACTTTGATATTCCTGATGTTTTAATTCAATTAATCCTGGGCAGTTTTTTTTCTTTCTTAATTATTTGAAAATTAATCAAGTTATGCTCTTGGTGGGTTGTCTGAATGTAACATTACTGAAATGGGGTTTTAAAAAAAATAGAAAAATGTAACATAAAACAATAAAATGTCTGGTCTACCTTTTTTAAAAAAGGGAATTCAAAATTATATATATGTAAATGAGCTCTGTTATGATTGGCTGCTCTATATTGCGCTACGTTCAAAAAGCAGTCCAGGCTAAACACTCATTATAACTTTAGTGAGAACAAGTAGGATAAATTGCTGTAGGCTAAATAAGTGGATATATGTAGATTTTTGACATCACAAAAACAGTGAATTCATTTTTATATGTTAGTTTCTATACACGTATATTTTATTTTTCAAAAAAGTGAGGAAAATTCAGTTTACTGTGATATCTGCCATTTCTGGTATGTGCCAGAAAATTTGTGTAAATTATGTTAAATGGTCAATAAATGTGGTGATAGAGTTACTTGTTCCCACAAAAAGAGATGATTTTAACTGTAAATGATGATGTCTCTGCTTTTTTGGGCCTTATTGTGTTCCAAGAGGGCACTGCATGTGTTTTTCGTGTTTATTTCAAGATGATAAATAAACTGAAGGTCAGTTACATAACGATACTTTCCACTGTCTAATGTTTAACTTATCTGTTAGTAAACAGGAAAGGAAAAGACAGCCAGGGGTTAAATAGGTCTTTAAAATAATTAATGACAAAATATTCGTCAGTGAAAGTGAACTGAATAATGGTTGCTTTTTAATTGATAATTGATCATAATGTCTGCAACGTAAAAACAACTTTTCTTTGAGAATTATTTTGCCTCACAACACCCTGCGTATACCTCTCTGCTGTGAAAGTCTTTTAAAAAATATGTTATAGTCCAAAACTTTACCTCAAAACTATCATCAAACACTACATCAAGCATGACACAGCATTTCATGCAATAACATTCAGTGAGTGAGCTTTCAGACGCATTAAACTCTTTGGACGTCTGGTTCCTATCACCACCACTGTGAACAATTTCTCTAGAAAATTTCTCTAGCATTTCAAATCAAACCACGTAAATGATATTGTTTACATCGAAATTTTGAAAAGTCGGTGGAATTCTCCTACAATGGCCAAACTGCCCATAGAGTTCGTTGGTGCTGATAACGCTCTTTTGGCGCCCTCTTGTGGCCAACTCTTCTAATTGCAAAATTCACGCTGGAAGCAGAAGAATACAGCTTTGCGTGTTCAGCAAGTGGCGGTAACATGTTTATCGGTCAAGATGCTTCGGAAGACGAGACGTATAGGTAACGCCAGGTGTCTGAGAAAAGAGGATGACGGCCAGTCGATCAGAGAATGAAACAACATATATCTGTTTTTAGTCTGTAAGCGTCTGCCTCGGGACCGACCCAGCGGAGAACAGGCGGGTGAATAAGGTGCTTTCACCTTGTTTGGTCCGAACCAGAATAGCAGGTGCGAAAGGTGCTTCGGACCACGGTCCGGAACAAAGGACCAAAATGTAGACATAGCTTTTTTTTATTGCTAAAGCATTTAAGAGACTCAATAAATATATTAAATTCAACTAAAACACTGAGGCGAGGCTCAGATTTACCAAAATGTGTCTTGTGTAAGTAGTATTTTCCAAAAAGCCCATCAGATTCAAAATAAAATGAACAGAACAGACGTTACAATTAAAACAAACGGGAAAAAAACTACCCGCTGAATTGAAAACACGCTGACGTCAGAGGCACGCTTCTCCACAAACCAATCAACGCCGTGTATAGGGAGACGCAGCCCACGTAGGTGATGACGAGAGGACGCAGGTAAGTCCTGCGTTCATGCGATGTTGTTTAGTCCGCGCGCTTAATTACAATAAGAAACCAGAACTAACAGGATCAAATGCGTGACCGACACATGAACCTTGGCTCGGACCTCCAGGTGTGAGAACACCGTAAGTTATTTATTGTCTCAGCCTGCTCGTCCACAAACACATTACAGAACAGAGAGCATCACCTTTAACATGGACCTTCACGTTTGTCTGTATGTCCGCAATATAATAGGTGAATGTTTATTAAGCCATACATGATCTTAACTGCAAGCATTCCAGTGGTGGTGGTGCAGACATGGTTACTGTTCTCACCAACAGGTTACATTCGGGCTCTTCTGGTGCTTTTCGCCTGGTCTGTCTACAGTCAGCCTGCACTGTTTCTTCCTGTGTATGTTATATCTGCTCTATTAGATGGTAAGGATTTACAAACACCATTTAAGCCTATAAATATATAGTGTGATATTGTAAAATGGATAACAAGTAGCATGTTCAAAATGATAGAAAAGGTGTACCGCGAGTTCTCCTGCAGCCTCATGTATTGTTGGTCTTGACTAAGTTTTATCCCTTATCCAAACTGTAGTTGATCAGCCATGTCTGATATTTCGAGTTTTCTTCTTCACTTTTGCACTGGAGCTATGAGATTAATTAACAAATTTGGTGCACCCCTCCAATTAGCATTGTGTAAACTACATGCCTGAATCGTCACACATTTGCCTCAGACAGCAAGAATGTGCCTATGTGGTTTTTGACGTATAACATTGTCATATAGAGTCAGTAAACACTTTATTATAACACTGTTTTGATAGGGGTTAGGGCCTCCCTTTGCTCCTAAAACACCCTCAATTCTTCGTGGCATGGATCTCCTGTTCTACCACATCCCAAAGGTGTTCTGTTAGATTCAGATCTGGTTACTGGAAGTAGCTATTAGAAGATGGTAAATTGTGGCCATGAAGGGATGCACATGGTCAACAACAATACTCAAAAATAAGCTGTGGCATTCAAGCTGTTGATTGGTATTAACAAGCCCAAAGTGTACCAACAAAACATTCCCCACACCGTTACACCACCTCCACCAGCCTGGACTGTTGACACAAGATAGATTGGGTCCATGGATTCCTGCTGTTGGCCCCCAATGTTGACCCTACCTGTGTGCCTCAGTAGAAATTCGGATTCATCAGACCCACTGTAGCCACAGCTTTCTGTTTTTGGCTGACAGAAGTGGACCCTGACGTGGTCTTCTGCTGTTGTAGCCCATCCACCTTAGGGTTCAATGTGTTGTGCATTCTGAGATGGTTTTCTGCTCACCACAATTGTACAGAGTGGTTATCTGAGTTATCATAGCCTTTCTGTCAGCACAAACCAGTCTAGATTACTTAACAATCCAACATGAACAACATTGAGGCAAGTATGTGATGATTAAAGGGGAATGATTTTCAAAAATGATGCACATATAAATGATTACGATGTAAATAATGTCATTCAGAGAGATGTAATGTGAAATGCCCTCAAGTCAGAATTGTTCACAGGCAACTGAAGAGTTTAAAGCATCTAAAAGCTTCCCTACAAAAAGTCATTATATGAAATAATTACAAGTATGCTGCCTGATGCCTCAGACATTGTTTCATGGTAGTTTTGATGCTATATGAAGTAAACCTGGTTCCACTATTATATTACTAATAATTTAAGTGAATGTGTTCAGCTGAGATGCTGAAATGCTCTTGTTTACTTAGTGATTGTGTGATCCTGTTCTTCTGTAGTGGGGCTGGATGGTGGCTTCAGTAGAATGGTGCATATTTGTTTGCAACCACAGCACTAGAGGTGCGCAGTGGAAGAGCTCCTTTACAGAGAGTCCTGTCTGGGTGCAGGCTGTCATGGCAAGTGGTATGCAGTTTATGTGTTATGTATTAATATATAGTACCAGTCAAAAATATTGACATATCTGATAAACTGTATATATGTCACTTACAGCCTCTGTAATATGTGTTTATAATCCTATGAATTTGTATATTGTAATCTAATATATAAAATAATTACATATAATATCTGGTTATATATTACACTTTAAATATAATATATAGTGTAAAATGTAATTAGAGCTCTGTAGAACAAAGACAATTTTAACACATAAATATCGAAAATTAAATTGAATCTTGTCCTCAGTCATATCAAAACTGAAAATATTCTCCAGTTGATGCTGCAAATATATACATATATAAAATATGTAAAACAATAAAAAATAAATAAAACTCTTAAACCTTTTCCAAACTGGTGCTATAGATATAATGTCCAAACTGGTGCTATAGATATAATGTACTTGATTTAAGTGTTGATTGGACAAAATATGATAAAGAAAAGTCACAGTAAGTTCATGAAGTCTGCAGGCTTCAGAACTCCTGTGGGTGTGCTGACGATAGCAGGTCTGCATGGTTTGCCGGTGTGGCTGTATGGTGTCCAACACGGATTTCTCACTCAGTCGTTCCGTGTCCCTCACTGGCTGCAGATCTTCTGCCTCCTGCTGCTGGCTGCAGGCCAACTGCTGTGCTTTGCCGTTGAGGTACGGGTCACTCTCTTTATAATCCCTACAAATCTAGAGTTATTATCATTATGCTATACATTTGATTCACATTTCATTCTTTATGCAATTACATAATCAAAAATATTCAATGACAGTTAGTAACATGAGTAATTACTTTTACATTTTGTATCGAAGTTTGACTCGCTTCTGACTTTTTCTGTTTGGATGTCAAACACTGAGAGAAACGGTAAAAATGTAAAAGACTGCCTTTCTTTCTGAAAAATAAGACATCAAATTCAAATCTCAAACTCTAATCATAATTAAACATCTCAACATGGTAAGTGCCTTGACCACACCACTAACTGTATGGGACAAACCTTTTTGCAGTTGAATAAAGATATAACAGAGATTATTTTATTCAGGAATAGAAATGAGAGGCACAGGCTGGCTGCCTGTCTGGAAGCGAGAGCCCTAAAATCTAAAGGCCTGGCACGTAACCTTAGTGTACTAATGGACTCTGATCTCAGTTTTAGCAGTCATCTCAGAGCTACTAAATCAGCATTTTATCACATTAAGAACATCAAGAAGATCAGAGATTTTCTGACTAAAGCAGACCTGGAGAAACTTATTTACGCCTTTATTTCTAGCAGGATTGGTTACTGTAATGGTCTCCTAAATGATTCAAAATGCAGCTGCCAGAGTGTTACACACCACCCCCATTCTTAAATCCTCACACTGGCTACCAGTAAATTACAGAAAAGAGTTTAAGGTACTGTTACTGGTCTATAAATTATTTAATGGTGTAGGACCAGTGTGTGTATCTGATATGCTCCAGCAAACTTTCAGATCATTAGGACCTAGTCAGTTAGTCCTCCTGAAGGTAAAGACTAAACATGGAGAAGCAGTGTTTAGCTACTATGCTGCTCTTAAATTGAACCAGTTGACAGTGAGCATCATCAGATATCGATTTGGAATATCTCAACTTCTGCCTGACGCAGATTTTTATTAACCCCTTAAAATCTTACGCTTTTATTTTTGGTGACAGGATTAAATACCTCCAACATTTATTGATATTTAATATGTGCAGTAGCGATGGATGATATGGCAAAAATATAGTATCACAACATTATTTCAAGACAGTTGAAACTAGGCCTCTCACAATTATCAAGATTCAGCTGGTAATCAATTGTTATAAATGTAATGACAAAGTAATTAAAAATTCAACTGTCTCTTTTTTCATTTTATGCAACTAATAAATCACACTTTAAATCAGTCTTGCTTCCTAGCTCTTTACTTAGCAGCTAACTGTACTGTTATAGTTACAGAATGAACTAACGCTTACATTTTTCAACAGAGACTGTGAAAATGTGAGTGAAAAACACTTGTTCTGCCAGAATACATGCTAACATTTGCTAGCTATCCTAGCTATTAAATTAACATACATTCCCCTAAACATGTTATAGCACAGTTAAAAGGTAGAACTTGTTAGTACAAGAAAAGTTGGAAGAAAGAAGCGATTTCTTTTATTTACATTTATTTGGCTCAATAAACACAAACTCATCCACCTCAACAATATGATGAACTGTGAAATCTAACGACTATGGAAAATAACTACAGTCAAGTCAAATAATTGCAGTTATTTCAAAAAACTGTGATCAGGCGATTATGTAAAATTGTGACAGGCCTTATTGGAACAGAGAAAAAAAAACAGTAGTGCCACTATCAAAAAAATAAACTATGAATATAAATGTTTATTTAGCATTTGACAAACTCCACTAAATCCAGTTAAACATGCCTAATTATTCACTGTCTTTTCGATCACAGTATTGATAATTTGCCCAGCCCTAATATGCGATTAGATGTACTAACGTTACCCCTTTCATTTTTGTTTTTCTCAAAGCAGCACAGAATATTATCTGTTTGCATTTAATACTTGAGAGATACACTCGACACAACAAGACTCATCATACTCATTTGCAAACGAACGTGAACGTGATAGGACAAAAATGTGTTTTAATATTGCTCTCATCAGTGTGTCAAAAAAAGGAAATTATAGTCTACATCTGCTTTAGATCTTTTCTCCCCAGTTAGAAGTAGTTACATGTGTTCACAACTTGTGGATACAAATGAGTTTAATATGATTTGATGGTTACAGATGTACAATGTACAGCAGACCCTACAGAGTCAGAAATAATCTTAGTTACACACATCACACATCAGATGACTTGAATCCAAGGTGAAAACATCTCCGAGCAGAGGCTCACTGTGGCACGGGTAACGGACACGGTTTTCAGAGACATTTAGTCATAATTTAATGAGCAAGTGTACTTCTTCCACCTTGTCCCAAGACTTGACTTAAGGGTGTGCTTTGTTCCATGAATGGAGTTAAATAATAATAAAAAAAAGTGACAATAAAACAAACTCAAAGACAAATTCATAACCCTCAAAGTGATTAAATGGAAGAAAGGACAGTTTCATTTGTGTGTATATACATTTATTTTTGACAAAGGAAACAGTCCTTCCTGCTAAAGTTGCTTAAGCGCCACCACAATGCAAAAATGAATAAGCTTAAGTAAAAAGAAATAGCACTTTGGCTCAGTGTTGGGGAAGCTACTTAAAACATGTTACTAAGCTACCAGCTGCTCTACGGTGGTAGTTGGTGGGCTACAACAAAGCCATTATGGGTAGAAAAGCAGTACATTGAAACTACAAACAAATGAGAAACTACTTGATGATAAACATGACTTAAACTTGGGATTTTATGAAACTTCATTTAAATCAGGCAGAATGTAACAGCTTTGACATAGCTACCTTGCTACTTGATGAGAGGAGTGAATTGAACTACTTTAAAACTAAATTGATCTCAAAACAATACTAAAAATGTAGTAACTTAACAAATGAAGTAGATCAAACTAACTAAACTAGTAGCATAGCACTGCAGCTTCTCCCCAACACCGCTTAGGCTGTAACCTGTTTGCGGCAGTGTGTACAACTTGCAAGAACGAATGATGAAAGATTTCATGAACACACCCAATCAGCATAATTCAAAAAGGCCACTCTCCTTTTGTGTAGACAGACACAGTAGCGCGAGCTGTCTTTATACCTATGCTTTCAGAATCATAACACATGCAGTGTGCAGTCTATCGCCAGCACAGTCTACAATAAAGACCGTTCCGGCATCTCAGCAGTACTCTTGACTGAAATTATTTGCATTTCAAATTTAGACAGGTCAGCAAACTAGTCAGCCTTACGTTCCTACTACTTTTTACGCAATAAATCAACCCAGCATTCAACAGTTCTCCATCCACCAGAATGTTCTACTTGGTCATTAACAGCCATTCATTCAGGGTGTTTCACCTTTTTCAGAGGCACAAAGTTCATGTTCCAAATTTCATTTCCAGGGATATTCGATTCCTGTTAGTGTAACAGTAGATGGTTCTCTTTGTACGTGATTATGAACTCTCTGAGACGACAACCATTTTCATCTACATCTATGTACATGTAGTTACTCAAACATGCAATAAGATTATTACAAGGTGTCCTCTTAAAAAAAGAAGAAAGAAAGAAGGAAATACCAGAATCGACAAAGAAGCACCTTTGTTTTTGGGAACTACATTTTAGCCCCACTAAAAATGAGACAAGATATCCCTTTGGATGTTTCAAACAGTCTCAAAAATCTCCGTTGCTCTTCACTGTTACACCACACCACGGAATACCACTTAAGGTTCACAAATGAGCCCTTAACATTCATTAGAAAGCATTCAGAGCTACATATTCTCAAATGAGGAGCATCATTTAGAAGAGGAGGAGACAAGTTTACTCCAATACGTCATTCTTTTTTTTTCCTTCGTCTTAAATGTTTTGTACGAACTAATACAGCAACAAATGTTAAAAAGGTGAGGGCTGTAAATGCACTCTTAAAACTTTAAAAATCACATCAACAGGTTGATACAAGAGTTTCACTTCCATCTTCTGTCACAAATGTCTGATATGACTTGAATGGTACAATTCAGTCGTTACTACAAATTATCAGCGCAATGGAAATACAGTTTTTAAAATCACAGCTTATTTTATTTGATGATTTGTAATATTCCACTCGATTCTTCTTTTTTGTCAGTGTGAACAAGGCAAACTCTTTCTCCATCCTGATTCCCTTTATGACGTCTGTATGGAGTGGCTGAAAAAGGTTTAAATTCAAGAATATATCCCAGGAGTGAGGCTAACCTCAGTACCCTCACAGCAGCCAGGTGGCCATGGAGGTGTGAGCTGGTATGGGACTAGCTTAGTTAGTGTTGTCTTTGAACTCTTTTGTAATTCTGTGGTGGGAGTTGGTTTGAAGCAAGCTATTGCGAAAGGCTGACAGAGTAGAGTGCCACCAGCCGAGCGTCCTTTAAGGCTAAGGCTAGGACTTTAGCTTGAGCTGGGACCCTGGGGTACCACCAGAGGCAGCATGCACTGCTGCGTGACAGCACATTCCTAACCACTGCGACCACTGACCAAGGCAAGGCTCTGCCTTTGCTATTATGTATATACACACATACATTTTTAATCATTTGTATACATACAAACACACGTGATTTTGTGTGTGCATGTAGGAAAGTACTGAATTCACAATATCGTTTCGCCACTTAAGACAAAGAAAACATCTGTTCAAACAATAGTCTTGTAAAATAGAACACACAATTGTGTTTTTGAATATGTAATTTGGAAATGTAATTTTGAGAATACTGCCTGTTTAGAAGTAACAAATGTGTTTTTGTGTAAACGTGCTTTACGCAAAGCCTTGCCGGGAGCCTTTTTTTATTGAGTTACATAATATGTGGAGAGAAGCCATCAGTAAGTAACTGAGGTGAAGGTGTTTGACTCAGCAGTCAAGAGTACAGTGGCATGAGATTGCACTCGTCGTCTACACTGTACAACAGGGTACTTTTAAGCATGTCTGCCACCATGACAGTGCTCCAAACCGCGTACGCCCCTCATACAATTGGTCCCTCTGTAGTGGTGCCTCCTCACAAAGCCAGGTGCAGCGATCAGCTCTTTTCTATGGATCCCCGACAGCTGGTAGAGGGCCAAAGGTCTTGATCAATGCAGATCTGGATAGAGCTCTGAAAGGATAATGATGACGACCAATGAGAGCTAGCCACATGATTGCCAACCCTCACAATCATCATCCGTGTGGGTCATGGGGCTATTTCACTGAGCCATGGTCAGTGTGTCAAAGCCTCTCCTCTCCACCTCTGTTCACTCAAACTGATAGCAATGGTCTCATCTCCTGTTTTAATAGAAGTTGAATTTGGCTCATCCACTTGCAACGATACATCTAAAGGTTATAGCACAGTTTGCATATAAATTATTGGCATTTTAAATTAAGCTATATTGGTACTAATATGCATGAATACAAATCAGAAGAAAGAACAAAACTTTGCATCTAAAGCAAAAGGAAATCCGCTGGTCCATAGAATCCACTGATTTCAACATGGCATGAGGAAGAGAAGAGAGAAAAAAAAAAATTCAGAAATGATCGAGTAACACAGGGCTCCTCGCACTTGCCAAAATAGCAAACACATGTAATCCTTAATGCAGGGTTCTGCATCGAAGAAAAGGGAGAACCTTCATAAGAACAGAAACTCAAGTGCCCATGTAATTGTCCTTCACTTGTCTTGGTGAAAAGGACCTTTCTGTCCACCGGGCCTGTTTCAGTGGGTGATGCGCTCTGTCCCAGCCTCACACGTAGAGAACTCTGAGGGCGTGGATGTGTGGAGCAATGCTTCAGATGCAAACAAAATAAACCCAACAACCAAACAGTGGGCATTTTACATTTTAATCAGCAAAACTATATAAGGTTGCCCTCTGTTTCTTTTATTTTTTTAACCTATTTTTCCTGTCTTCTTTAGCAAGTCAGAGAAGTAGTCAGATCCTCTGAAGTCTGAAGATCCTCTGTAGGAAAGTGAGCCTGGTGATGACAGAAGGCTTCTCCCCTCCCCCCACAATATGAGTGCTGAGTGTGTTGGGAGAGATGCCATGTATTTTCTTCAGGGTTCATGAGTGTGACTAGGGCTGATGGACATGCTGGCATAGGTGACCTCGGGATCTGGTCCCTCTCCCAGCCAGGTGTCGTTTGATGTGAATAATTTCGAGTGGGCATGTATGAGAAGGTGGATGGTTTTGAGGGTGAGTGGAGAGAATATGGAGTGAAGAGCGCATGTTTCTGTCATTAGCCCATACAGGAGCGTCCTGCAGCGTGGCTGTGTGAGAGCAGGAAGGACTGCACCACCTCGTCTGTGGCCTGGGGGCTTGTGTTGACGTCCTCTAGTGCATCTGCCACAGCAAACTGCCTGTCCCTCAAACGATTCCAGTTGGACAGGATGTTGTGGTACTCAAAAACCTTCTCATAGTTGCCCACTGAGTTGTAAAGCTTGATCAGGCCTCTATAATCGTACTCAAGTCCACTGTAGCCTTCCCCAAACAGCTTTTTACCTAAAGGGCATATATAAGTCACATGGTAAATGGTGGAATGCTAAGGTGTGGGAACAAAGGGGGTTGTTTATATTTGTTAGCTTTACCCACCAATGGCGATGGATCGCAGGTAGAGGCGCTCAGCGTCATCATATTGGTTCATGTCGTAGTTGTAGAGAGAGGCCAGGTGCCCCACAGACAGAGCTACTTCGTAGTCCTCCTGCCCCAGCAGCTGCTCTTTGATCTGGATAGCCTTAATGTGCATTTCCTCAGCCTCCTGCAATAAAAGAGCAGCATAAAAAAGTCAGTCTGATTTAATCTGTCCGTGAACAGGGTGTGCAGGAGCTGAATCAGTAAAACACCAACCTCAAACTAGAAATGTAACGATACATTAGGCCCACAATTTAATTTGGTTCTCAATACTGGATTTATGATTCAATATTCTTACGATATTTTGAACAAAATTCAAAACTGAATTTATGTTGTTATACAGCTTACTAATAAAGTAATTAGTGTGGACTGCTGATTGGAGCTGGTTATTTACAAATTTGGTGCTCAAAACAGTTGCCTTTGATGCCATAATTAATAGAGTGCACATTCTCTGCAATGCACACTATCACTATCACACTATCATTTTTGTATTACAATATAGCAATGTCACAACATTGTTACACAAGACTGAAATGCATTTTGTTCCATGTACAGACATTGTACACAGTACATTACAACTGTCAAAAATAGTGTCTGCCCGATTGTGGAGGACAGCTGAAAATGCATCAGGCTAGAGAAACTTGTCACTGACTTGCCCTGTCAGGAAAGTGAGGCTCTCTAAATTACAAGCAACCACATTAAAAACCTGTCTGGGCAAGCGGATTTATCGTTCGCTTAGCTGGGTAAAACAGCTTGACCTGTTAGTGGCTGGTTTAGAGATTTATGAAACTCTAACCTTAAATTTGCGCATGGATTGGTAGAGGCGGCCTAGGTTGCCATAATGTTTTGCTGTCTGGACGTTGAACTCTCCGAAGGCTTTTTTGGCCAGCTGTAAGGAGGAGAGGTGTAGGTCATGGGCTTCCTGCAGGAGGCGCTCTTCTGTCTCTTTATTATGGCAATCAATGGCAATCTCCTCCAGAATCAGGGCTATGGGAGAGGGGTCACACACACAGTGAATCAAGAGCAATTTAAGACCTGCTGAAACTGTAACAGAGTGAAATAAGTGTTCTGTTCTTTTGCTGAACAGAGCCAATACCCCAGGGAGAACTATGATACCACGAGGACAAAGCTACTCTGAACTGTCAAGGGTTGTCTCCATGTCGTCTTTACAGAGATGCAGCTGTGAATAAGGAAAGTTATGAAAGCTGTTGCGAGTGCGACTCTAACCTTTCACCCTCTTGGATGAGGCCAGCAGCAGATGGTCCTCTGGGAGAATGTGAGTTATGATGTCTATGGCACGTTCTGCGTGAAATCTAAACACAACAGCACAAGTCCTGGGTAAGACCACAGAGCTCATTACACATGAAATAGGCACATTTTTATCTTCCTGAATAAACTTTTCCATTAATAAAAATAAAGACATCCCCTCTGACATAACACTTTAACTAGGTTAGAGGGTAGGACAAGTAGTGCTGTTCCTAGAGGGAGTAGCATGCCATTTTGTGAAAAGCAATACTTGGCAATCAATGAATTTAGGAAGACTGAAATTTGTTTTGCATGCTTTCTATTTTTGCATTGGAACATCCTTGCAGTTTTGCCTCTGACCTACATAATATTTATCAGACCCTTTCCTAGCAGTACAAAAATAAGTAAACACAAATAATATCCTTTCTCATATTTTTTTAAATAAGATCTAACAATCACAATCTGCTCTCTCTTTCTATCCAAATAACCAATTAGCAGGTCCAGGAATAGAGCAGGTTACTCACAGTGCATTCTCGAATTTACCAGAGCTGTACTGGTGCACATAAGAGGAGTACGCCAGGTCTTCATGCGCTGTGGCCACGTGAATATTCTTCCCTCCAAATACGGACTGCCGAATATCAAGGGCAGTCTGACAACAGAATGTATCAACATAATTAATAACCAGAGAACTTTTCTCAAAAGGTGTGAACAGTTTTGAGAAAAATTACATTAAACCCACCTGATATATGGCAACAGACTGGCAGATGTTATCCACATTTAGTAGATAAAATCCATAATCTAGCAGTGTATCTGAATATTTGGGGTGCTTGTGTCCAAAATGTTCTCTAAAAAATACATTTTTGTGTTAGTAATGTCTTTTGGTACAATTAAACAAAATACAAAGACAAAATAAGTGTTAGAGGTAGCTCACCGTGCAAGAAATACTGCATGTTTTATCAGCTGTTCAGCCTTCCTGAACTCCCGTTTAACAACACATGCCTACAAAAACGATAACAATGGTAATGAAGAGATAAAAGGGGATTCTGTATTATTAAATGGTTCATGTATAAACAAAGTCTTTCAGAGTAGCTTGATGTGAAAGTGCCAATCTAGAGAAAGTTACAGAGACAAAATTGTTCACAGTGGGCATGATAGGAATCAGACGTCCAAAGCATTTAATTCCCCGAAAGGCCCTCTCACAGAAAACCATTACATAAAACGTTTATAAATACCATGACTGATGCCCGAGACATCGTTTTACAACACTTCTGAGATAAGCTTTTGGCCCAAAATATTTTTTTCAAATCCATCCTTGGTAGACAAAAACATGCAGGGCATTATAAAGCAACGCTACATATAAAAATTCAGAAGACATACATGTGTTCACCTGTTATACAGTGGGTAAAATGGCTATGTGTGTGTTGTAGACACTGCAAGCTTTGGTTACTATCACCACCATTATAAAGAAATTTGAACCAGTAAATTTCTCTACACTTAACCATTTCACATCAAACCACTCTGAATGATTTTGTTTACATTGCAACAACTGAATTACACAGACATTTTGAAAAATTTGTGGAATTCCCTTTTACATTCACTATACAGCCAAAGTCCGCCTTTTATCACTGTAGTCTGGTGTTTAGAATGAATTATATGTTTAACATGTGCCTGTGAAATTATCCATGAAATCATAAAACTACATCATCATCAAATCCATGACAACCTTTGCCAGTTCTTATGTACTTCTAAAAAGATAAACATGAATATCCCACAATGCTAAAGCCATACCTTAGAGGCTTGTCTCAGAACATCAACCACCACTTTCACAGGCAGACCTACTGTGATCTCCCTCATGGCCTCTATACACCACCGGTATGCCTGAAACACCAAAACATTTAGCTACAGTAAGTTCCAAATATTCCCCAAACAGAATACCTATTATGCCTTGGTGTTCAACTCCCTACCTCATCATAGTGGCTTTTGGCAAAGAGAAGAGCGCAGAGTTCTCCGTAAAGGGCAGCCTTGTTAGCGTGGTGGCCATGTTTGGCTAGCTTTTCCATGTAAGATTGGGCCAGTTTAAAGGTCTCCTCTCCCAGGTGATATTTGCAGTTGCCATTACGTACATGAAGCAACCTGACACAATTAAAACAGAGGGAACAATAAGAAGAATCAAAACTGTAGCTTAGTGAGTAGAGCAGGCCAGTGATCACTGGTGTTACGTCTTCATGAAATAATCTGAGAGCTCATTTAGTCTCATGACTTCAGTTCAGAGATCCAGTCACAGAAGAAATTTGCAATTTGAGTCTCCATGTGAAATAGGCATGACCATGCTGGATATTTTAGAGATGAAAGATCAGCAATGAAAAAATCCTACTGGTGCTATTAGTACTTCAGCAGTGATTACCTAGCTAACCAATCTAATCCTGCCTCCCAATTTACTGTACAAAGCTTTTTCATTATGAACAAATTTATAGATAGGTCAGGAAGTACACAAAAATGGCATACATAAACTAAATGAAGTTTTGCATACTAAATTTGCTGCTGGCAGTCTGCAATATGAAACCCATGACAAGGACAATTTTCTCAAAATGCTAATGTGATCGGCCCTTAAAACAAGTAGTGACTGCCCTGCCCTCACCAGCTTTTACTGAAAGAGATGGAAGTTCTAAGGACATTTAAACTCACCTCACACAGCACTCCACTGCACGATACCAGTGCAGAACTTCATCATGTAACGTACACAACTGCAGACACGAGAGAAAGACTTTCTCTGCATCTCCATACCAGCCAGCATCTGACAGAAAACCACCTAACAGGAAAAAAAAGACTTATTACTGCCAATGTCAGTGTAAAGCTACACAATAGGCTACTCAGAAAAAGAGTGTGACTGACCTAGAACAAAGCCAAACTGGATAGCTTTCTCTTTAACATGAGCATCTGACTCTGCGATGTATGAGCATCTACGACTGAAGGAGTTTGCCAAGATTGAGGCCACTTTAACACCATGGTCCATCAGAGCTTGGAAACAGTGATGGAGGAGGTGTCTGAGGGGGGGAAAGGAAAGACAATACTCAGACGCTGGAAAGATCAAAGAACTGACAAGATATGAAGAAAAAATTACTCAGTGATCCAGAAAAAGGACTTTCAACATTCTGTCTTCATGCTCTTTTAAGACATTATATTTTTATCTGTAACCATTACATTAGAATCCCTCAGTGCAACCAATGGTTCTAGAGTAGACATGGTTGTAAAGATGGCGCAAAAACACATTCTTTTCTGACAGACTTTCAATTCTGAAATCAAAAACTGAGTACTGTGCTATTTCATCTACAAGAAGCAGTACGTTTCAAAATGAACTATTTTTAACTCAAGCACTTAAGATGAGTAAACCAGAAACTCTCCCACCCCATAAGAAGAAATATACCGCCAACAACATGACATCATACAATGCGGGTATGATATTTCAAGCTAGATTTGTTACTGGATTGGATTCATTGTTTTTTCCCCTTTGATATCTGATCCAGAATGTTCTGTTGATATCAGCCTGATACCCACTGATAGCTATATGCCATGTCTATTGTAGAGACACCGCAAGGAGCTTAACCACTTAACTCAGTTAAAGGAATAAAACAAAACATTACAATATCTCAGTGCAAGAAGATGTGAGGCATTAAATTACACCCCTGCCAGTAGTGATACTGAGAGAGACTTAAAGTTTTCCAACAATCCTAATTTTCTATAAATACCACATAATGCCAAATGTCCAAGCTGACACACATTCAGTCTCAGACAGTAGTCACTAAGATCACTCCTTTGTGACAGTAAAATAGGCCCATACTTTACACCATGCAAAGTGGACAAACAGTGTACAGCTGGGTTCTATTGTCAAATACCTTTTGTCAGAGGCTCGTAGGACTTTGGCAAAGACCTCAAGCTCACAGAACTCCCCTCCCAGCTGGCAAAGCCGGCCTTGCTGGTAAAGCTGGAAAACAGGGAGACATGTGAGAATGATAACTCTTTTTGTCCATTTGACAGAGAGATAAGTAGACAATTCCCTTGGGAAAGAAATAGTCAGAAAATGGGCATAAGGAACACAAACAGGGCACTAAGAAACAGAAAAACAGCTGAAAAGTAGTTTGCGCAAGACCAGACCTCTGACCAACTGCTTGATTTTTATAATGTCCAACAATGTCAACACCCTCTTGACAGCATTCTGCTCTGAAACCAGTTGACAGCCTGCCTGATAAGAAGAACTTGATGTAAACACACTTACGTAAGGTGCACTATTATTAATCTTCTATTTGCCTACCGAGCCAATTACATACAAAAGGAAATCGATGCACAATTAACTATTTAATTGTGAAATATTCAAACACTGAAACTGGGGGAGAACGCAGCACGCTTTGTTTTGTGAAGAAGGAAGACACAAAGAACTGACAAAGCGATATAACCCATTTATTTCCTATTTCAACGTACTTAACTTACAACAGTGAACTAAACGTGCCCATGGTAAAATACCGACGTCTGTGGAGTCCTCAGTGAAACAGCCTGTAAAAAGGGGTGTTATTCCTGCCCGACATCAAACTCATTCAGCTCTTCATTTTAACAATATGATGAGGACAGCCTGAGCCAACTAGCTATGAAGGGTTTTTTCCTGCTTTATAATTATACCAAACCAAGCGTACTAAAATTGTGACATGCAACAGAAAGTAACCTACTTGACTACCGTTAGTTGACACTAGCTAGCTAACGTTAGGTCAGCTATTAAGTCAACTTACCGAGTTAGCCGCTCATACTGCTCATATTTGATACCTAAAAAGACAGACTGTCCGCAATAACCGTTTTCAGAAAATGTGACAGTCTCTTTTTATATCCTGCCACTGTTTCAAACTAACCTCTACCACTGTTGTTAAACCCAACTAACGCGCTAATATTAAAACACTCATTTCTTTGCGACCTATAGGTACATTACAATTAGCCAGCGTTAGCTAATCTAGCTAGCAGAGTCAACGTTAGCTACCCAGCTCGCCCACCGACAAAAGTCTTAATGCGTTAAATCCGACCCATAAACGCCCCCTGTTACCTTGTAGTAGACATCGAACTGTATATTTTCTGGTAGAGACCGTATGTCCCGCCGCGACCGGCTGTAGTTGTCCACCACTGCTGATATCGCGGTGTTGTACAGCGTCTCAGGGATCCACTCGAGCTCCACAGCGGCCATGTTGTTTTCCTTCTCCAAATCCAGCTGCCTCCTCCTGCTCTCACCTCCTCCGCTACCTGATCGAGGTAAAAGTCTTTTCTCCGGCACTCCTCATACACCTCTCCACTGAAAGCCCAACACCAATAGACTGTCGTTCGGGTTATGAACGCAAACCCGTCATAATCGCATGTTTAAACCTCTCTCTCCCTCTCTCGCCCCCCACTCTCTCTCTTTCTGCTCGACGCAGTGACGTACAGGGGCAGACGTGAGGGACGGGACGCTCTCACCGGCGACACCTGCTGGGCACACTGGAGAAATTCATCTCTGCAGAGCTCCGAGATGAAGGCAGAACCGTTCAGCCCATTGTGTCCCAGCTCCGGTCATGAAGTTCGCTGCCCTGCCCTGTTTCATATTTTCCTACGCTCGAGCCATGTAACTAAATGATTCAATTATTGTCCTTCTCGAGGTCAGTCAGGCAAGTTTGTGAATGAAAAAAGTAATTGTAATATTTAACATTTTATTGTAAGATTTATGCGTAATATATGGATCATACTGGATCATACATACAGCGGGTGAAATAAGTATTGAACACGTCACCAATTTTCTAAGTAAATATATTTCTAAAGGTGCTATTGACATAAAATTCTCACCAGATGTCGGTAACAACCCATCCAATCCACACATGCAAAGAAATCAAACCATAGAGGTCCATAAATTATGTGTAATAATGAGAAATGACACAGGGAAAAAGTATTGAACACATGAAGAAAGAGAGGTGCAAAAAGCCATGGAAAGTCATGACACCAGCTGAAATCTATCAGTAATTAGAAAGCAATCCTGCCACATAGTGCAAATTAATATCAGCGGGTTCAACTGATGGCCTATAAAAAGGTGTGTAATTACCAAGGTGCCACACAAGAAACATCTCATGATGGGTAAAACCAGTGAGCTCTCTCAAGACCTTTGCAACTTTATTGTTGCAAAACATACTGATGGCATTGCTTACAGAAGAATTTCTAAACTACTGAAGGTTCCAGTGAGCACTGTTGGGGCCATAATCCGGAAGTGGAAAGAACATCATTTCACCATAAACTGGCCACGACCAGGTGCTCCCTGCAAGATTTCAGACAGAGGAGTGAAAAGAATTATCAGAAGAGTTGTCCAAGAGCCAAGGACCACTTGTGGAGAGCTACAGAAAGACCTGGAATCAGCAGGTACAATTGTTTCAAAGAAAACAATAAGTAATGCACTCAACCGCCATGGCCTGTGTGCACGTTCACCACGCAAGACTCCATTGCTGAAGAAAATGCGTGTTGAAGCACATTTAAAGTTTGCTCAGCAACATTTAGACAAGCCTGTGAAATACTGGGAGAATATAGTCTGGTCAGATGAGACCAAAATTGAACTCTTTGGATGCCATAAAACTCACCATGTTTGGAGGTCAAAAGGCATTGCATATCACCCCAAAAACACCATACCAACAGTGAGGCTTGGAGGTGGGAACATCATGGTGTGGGGCTGTTTTTCAGCATACAGCACTGATACGCTTTATATAATTGAAGGAAGGATGAATGGACAAATGTACCAAGACATTCATGATAAAAATCTGCTGCCATCTACCAGGATGGAGATGAAACGAGGGTGGACATTTCAGCAAGACAATGATCCCAAACACAGCCAAGAAAACTCTCAATTGGTTTCAGAGAAAGAAAATATAGCTGCTAGAATGGCCCAGCCAATCACCTGACCTGAATCCAATTGAAAATCTATGGAAGGAACTAAAGCTCAGAGTTCATAGAAGGAGCCCACGGAACCTTGAGGATTTGAAGAGTGTTTGTGTGGAAGAATGGGCCAAAATCACACCTGAGCAGTACATGCAACTACAGGAGGCATCTTGAAGCTGTCATCACCAACAAAGGGTTTTGTACAAAGTATTAAATAAATTTCAGTAAGCGTGTTCAATACTTTTTCCCTGTGTCATTTTTCATTATTACACATAACTTAATTTATGGCCCTCTATGGTTTGATTTCTTTGCATGTGTGGATTGGATGGGTTGTTACCGACATCTGGTGAGAATTTCATGTCAATAGCATCTTTAGAAATATATTTACTTAGAAAATTGGTGACGTGTTCAATACTTATTTCACCCGCTGTATATGTTTGATAAAACACTTCAATGCATACAAACACCGAAAGACTTTTTAAAGCAAAAATTCAAAATGAACTCCACCAGAAACATACAGGCAATAAAAAACTGCAGTAATTTGTTATCTGTATATGATTAATGTTTTCTATAATATGTTGTTAAACATGTGTTGCAGATATATGTTGACATATGATTTGAATATTTGCCCCATTTTTTAAAATGGCCCATTTTAAATAAGTTGGCATATATGTTGCGTGTATGTCCATATGTGACTAATATCAGTTGGACATAATGGAAATTCATATATGCTAATATATGTCATATATAAGAAGCCATTACATTGCCATATATTAGAGTTCTGTATGAGTTAAATCCAAAAAGCCTGTACATGCTAGGAAAACTAGAGCTAAATCTCTAGCTCCTCACTCCCTATACAGTGCACTATGTGAAATGATATTTTGGCTTCTACCCAAAATAGTGCACTATATACTCAGAGAGGAACTGTGGCTAAATCAAAAAATGTCTCTTTATTAGACACTCTATGCACTGTTTGGCTGGAGCAGCCATTATTTTAAAACCTTAGTGCATTACCAGGGGTGGCACCCCACCTACAAAAGAATAACAGTAAAATAACAATAAAAAGCATGCTAATACAACAGCAGCTGCCTGACTGACGACAAGGTCTCTTATATAGTTTATATATACGCTTATATAGCTTAGCACTGTAGCACAATGAAATATTGCAACTGGCATTTAGTCAATTTCACATAGTTTGGCCTTATGTTTTATTGAAATAAGCAGCCTGAAGTCAAAAGTGGTGAGACATCCCCCAGTGCATTTATAAAAGTGTTGGTTAAAATGTCCACCCACTCCGGTCATTCTGGCAGCCATGAGCTATTTTTGAACTTTCGCCAATCTTTTGAGGGTACTATTTTATTAATGTATATCTTTAGGTGCATCATATATATAAAATGCCTTTATACAATGCATCCTAATTCACTCCGTAACCCACTGAAAGATTGAAAAAACAAAAAGAGATAGAAATTGAACCATTATCTGTTTTTATATTATCCCTAGGGTGCTTAGTTGACACATTTGTGCCAGTCTAAATAGAAGATTTTACATGATAACAGTAATATATAGCATCACTGAGCTTTGTGAAATTAAACTCTCAGTGATCGGTTGATGTCCACCTCTGCTACAACAGCACAAGTAGAGCATAAGACCTTCAGACAGCCTCCACTGAAAAGCTTTCTGAGAAGACTTACTGCACCAAAAATGCTGTAGCAGGAAACAAAGGAAAAGTGAAATCAGACCCTTGATACTAAACAAACAACATTATTTATACTTCAGGAGATCTGAGCAAAGTATGAAGGGTTTAATCACAAAACACATTTTAGACCACTTTAAAAAAATGTATATCACATACATTGTTGGGAGTGGAGTTTACACACACAGAAAACAACAATAATATCACCTTCAGTAGAGAAAAAAAATAAAGTCAGGTGTTTATCTATTTTAAAAATGTGTTTAGGAATGAAACTCCTTGTATGTGCTGTTTAATAAACTTTTCCTGTCTCTTCTGCCTTTCTTTCTATTTCTGGTAAATCATATGATCCATTTATATGTGACAGTTCTTTAAAGTGTTCATATGTTTCCAGACAATATTCTTAGGTGACTATATAGAAAGTCTGTCAGTGAATCAGTGACTCAATCAATCAATCAATCAATCAATCAATCAGTCATTCAGTTAGTCAGTTAGTCAATTAGTCAGTCAGTCAGTCAATCAGTCAGTCAATCAGTCAGTCAATCAATCAATCAGTAAGTCAATCAGTCAATCAGTCAGTCATTCAGTCAATCAGTCAGCCAGTCAGTCAGTCAATCAGTCAGTCAGTCAGTCAGTCAGTCAGTCAGTCAATCAATCAATCAATCAATCAATCAATCAAGTCAAAGCCAACTTTTTTTATTTCATCTCACTACAGAGATATGCTGAGTGAGAAACAAAATACACAAAATGTTTAGCTGGAACCAAAATATTTAATCAAAACAAATGACTCTTTTAAGGTACAGCTTGAGGTTCTTTACTTAGATAACATTCACTTAATATGGAACTTTTACTGTGTGTAAACATACCATATTATTAAATTAATGGTAATATGCAATTATGTTTTAAGTTACACTGATTCTGTATACCATGTTGTGACATGATTTTTACTTTAAGCTAAGAATAGATACAAATATGCATCTTTGTGAATGTAAAGTACATTTAAAACTCATTTTGGATATGCAATTGGACATTATATATACTTTGAGGGACTAAAATCTGCCAGCACGGTGCCCTTTTTTCTGACAGTGTACGTCAGATTTATAAGACATTCTTTTTGAACAGAGGAGAAGGTGTCAGGAAGGTAATGAGATACCATGATGTATTTGGGAAATATCATCATATTGAATATCAATCCCCTAACAATAAACTATACAAAACATTATACAATAAACTATGCACCCATTACGTACAGGACAGTAGGGACTAAACAGTAAATGGATTGCAAAATAGTCCTACAGCTGCAGTGCCTATTTGTAAACTGTATTTATTATTATCACCATACATTGATAACAAAAACATTTTAATATTACTTAAATTTTTAGTTTTATTAAATTTGTTTTAACATTTATTACTTAGTTTATTATTTAGTTGTTTACTATTTAGTGTTTTTTGCTCTTACTGCAGTGTTTTTCCTCACGTAGTTCATTTGCTACTTTTATTTTTGGGATGAAACGTATCCTGCAGTTCCACATCCCTCCAGCAGGGCTCGCCGTTTCGCCGTGTTTTGTGGGAAACACGAGGCGGACCGCCAGCCTTTATCACATCCTACATTTCCAGCGCGGCCGCTGCTTTTTTAACGCTGCGCCCATCGGAGACACACCGAGCAGCTAACACACAGCACAGCCCTGTTCTCCGCATAAACACAGTCCTCGGATAACGGTGAGTCCAGCGCAGGTTTACACACAATCTTGGGTTTGCTTCTGTTCATTGGAAAGCGCGCCGTCTTATTGTTTGGAGGTTTTCGGGAAGCAAAGTCCCCGTTTAGTGATGTTTGTAGTGGGATCAGCA